TTGCATCCTGTCCATTTTCACTCATTTTCCTCCAGCATGAAGAGCTCCCTCCACAACAGAGTCCTAACTCATTGTTTAAACTTTTGTTGTGACATTTTGCCTGGCAATACCGGGGTTCTTCTTGATAGGCTCAAGTAGTGTTTTAATATCTACATATTCTACCAAGAGCTAGGTCATGTCAAAGTACTCGCACCCAACATCACACTCATATCATCTCTTGCTTCCTCAACACTTCTATGCAAACTTAAATTCATCTTATCTCCCTACTCTCGTATCTGTTCTTCCTCCTGGTGAACAAGTGACAGCAACATCTCAACATTGTCATTGAGACGCCAACCCAGGAAGAGTAACATTTTCAAGAGTTAAGAAGTCAAGTAGACATTGAAGTTACTTTATTTATTGACAGTTCAATTAAAACTCACATCAAACACCAGTGCTGAAAAAATATTATCCTCATGTGCACTCATGCCGGAGGCTGGGTGGCCAGGGAGCCCAAGCAGGAGGGGCAGCCTGTGCACGTCTCAGGTGGACACAAAGCAGGTGGATGAAAGAGCGAGAGGTGTCTGGGAGGGTGAGGGTGGGCACTGGGTGGAGTCATGGGGGACTAGTGTGGCAGGATGGTGGGTCAGGGAAGTACAAGCTCCAATCAAGTCCTAGAGGGGAGGGAGAAGGACTCTGACAGGTCAACAGGTCTGTGTGTCAGTAAGGTTAGCAGGACACTAGATCATCAGGTCACAAGAAACAAGTGAGTGGGACCCCTCCAGAGCAATTGGAGGGACAGAGGGTCTGTCTCCCTCTAAGCCTTTTCCTGTTTGATTGCTGCCTTAGCAACCCAGATGCCAGAAGCAGAGTGGAAGCTTTCACACGCCTCTCTAAGCAGGGATGATGGAAAAGAGAAGTGAACACAGACTGGAGCACAAGTTCGATCCCCTGCTGGCCAGGGAGCAGCCCTCATGGCGAGGTAGATCTCTCCTGTCTTGCCCGCTGCTCCCCTCAGCAGTGTATTTCAGTTAGTCTGCCTGTTCTGCTCCCCACTCTGTCTCTGGTGAATCCTCTCATCCCCGCACCTCTGGCCTACACCCCAGCTCTTGTGTGCACAAATAAATAAATCTTTTTAAAAAATTAAATGACACAACCAAAGACCCCTCCTGTTACTTCATACCAAGTGTTGTGGGTTATTTTCTGCAGAGCAAGAGACAAGCGTTGCTGGTTACACAGGCTTCACTCCAGCCGGGCTGTGAGATTTGGGGCAAAAGAGCTCTGAGAACCACTCAGGGTGCCCAGCCCCACACAGTAACCTCACCTTCCTGGGACACTTGATGGGGGTTTCACTGATTTCATGTGTGATGGCAGCTCCTCAGCACGTTGGTCTCAGCCGTGGAACAGGAACCACAGCAGGAGGACAATAAATGCCTCCACCAACGACCAGACCAGAGCTCAGGCTGAGTGCCATCCAGTGCTATAGTTTAAACTGAATGTTCATTGAAAGAATGCAAAGACAAATCGACTGTTGAGCCTTCCATGGTTAAAAGCGTAGTGACTTTGGAAAAGGACAGGATCAGGTTCAAATCCCATTACTTCCAATTACCATTCTATGCTTTGGAAAGTTACTTAAGTTCTCAGGTCAGTTTCCCTCTCTGTGAAAAGCAGACCATAAAGGGTCATTCTTCAGAGACTTTCTATTAAGACAATATAATAGGACACATCAGCTTGCGTAAGTTTACTATTATTCTTGTTTTTACTAGGCACCTGTTTCCTATAAACATATTGATTCTTGTTGTAGATACAGCTGTGGCTGGGTAGTCTTATGTTTTAAGGGGTCCCATCTCCCCCTGGCAATTGGATAACTGTCACAGATGGCCAATACCTGTGGCATGGCTTTGTCATGGCCCAAACTGTGAAGAGAGGGACACTACAAGGCTCAGATGCTCCCTAGGGCTGCTCAGCTCCCTGCCTCTGGAGATGGGGGGAGGGTGAATGTCTTGTCCTCCCAGAGCTCTGGGGTTTTCTCAAGCAGCTTGTCCTGGCATGAAGCCTCTTGGAAGTCTCAAATTTTATCTTAAACACTCATGCAAATTCCATACTCTGTTCCCCGCTATATTAGCATGTTTTAGAAAAAAGAACAAAAAACCCTCAATTTCCTAAATACACAAGGAAATCTGGCGCTGAGGAAAATATGATGATTTTTTAATTAGAAAGAAAAACCATGTTATTTTAAAAACCTTTCTCATCCTTCATCCTGACCTCCCTCCAAGACTGACAAATATTTGTTCAACAAATATTATTAAGTGCCTCATACTTGCCAGACAAGATTCAAGGTCTTGGGGATTCAGTTGAGAACAAACAGACAGGGCCCCAGGGTTCCTATTCCTGGGTAACTTATATTATCAGAACAATAATGAGTTAACATTAATTAAGCTATTATTATGTGTCAAACATGGTGCAAAGGCATTTCCACGTATTATTATTATTGCACTTAAACTTCACAGCAAGCTTAGAAAGTAAATAGATACTTTTCCCAGTTTTTCTCTTAAGGAAAAATGACACTCAAAATGGTAATTTTTCCAATGTCACACAACTAGTGTTAGGGCTTCAGGGTTGAGCCTTTTTCATTCTGAAGACCATACTATGTGTTTTCTGGTACATGGGCTGTCACTTTAACAGGGAGAGCGAGATTTTCATAGGATGATTTTCTTATCTGAAATTGAAGTCTGCCCCCTTCACCTTCTATAATATTACTGCCTCAGCTCCTAAGTTTTCTGGCTAGTTCAGATGCCACTCTGATGTGTGTCCAGGTGGCACATGATGCAAAGAACAAGGTCAGCATTTCTTATATTTTGAAATATTTTTTAACTGTTGACATAGTGATACTTTGAACTAGAAGTCATAAGACCTAGATCCCAATCCTGCAAAGGAACAGCTGAAAGAACTTGTCTGTGTCCAGATTTCTCATTCATTCATTCAGTCATTCACTCACTCATTCATTCTGAATAATGATGAAAAGCCTACATTCTTCTAAGCAAACGACATAATGGTTAAGCCAAAACACACAGTCCCTACATCCATGGTGCTTAGATACGGTAGAGGGAAAAAACTTAACCTAATAAGGTTAAATAAAAATATAGCCACAAAATGAAGTAAGGGCTCTGGAATGAAGGATGGGATTCTATGGAGATACAGTTTGGTATCTATGTGAATTAATACACTTTAGCATTTACACGTAAATACATTATTATGCTTAAATATACCTTGGTGTTTAAGCATAATAGTATGTGAAATAATTTCTTCAGTGGATCAAGGGAGCCTCAGCTAACAAAGTCTTACTGGCCCTGAGACCTGAAGAATGAATGCGGGAGTTCACCAGGGGTTGAGGTGGCTTGGGGTGGGGCAGCTGGTATGGGAGGGAGCAGGTTGCCCTGGAAGAACCTCAGATGCTTCATGCACAGACTATAGGAGGCCAGGGGCTGCTGATACCAGGAGTCACTGTAGAGGGGGGAAACTGGTCCAGATCTTCCAAGTAATTTAGAACTGAGACAGTAATTGTTGCCAATTACCCATTCCCCTTCCTCTGTCAAAATAAACAACAAACTGAACTTAGAACGAATGATCTGAGGCTCAGAGGAGCTTAAAAACTTGGGTTGGATTGGATTTTTAAGTTAAGGTGTTTAAATATCCAAAAACCTAACCATAAAGCATACAATGAGTGGTTTTTAGCATATTCATAATGTTCTGCAACCCTCACCATTAGAGGCTCTTGCTCCTAAGCACTACTTACTTTGGCCTCTTTTCATCCTCAGGAAAATTATTTTAAGATAATTTTTTAAATTGAGTCTTAAAATACACTTGTTAAATGGCACAATCTTTTAAAACAGCTCAATGAAACTTTTACATGTGCATTCCTCTGTGGAATCACCTACCAGATCAAGGTGCTCAGGGCATCTCCAGCTGCCTGGCTGGCTCCCCAAGCCTCCTACCACTTGGTATAAATCCCCCCCCCAAAAAAAAATAACCAGTAATCATTCTTAAAGTCCCTTAGTAAGTAACAACAACAACAAAAAAACCCACAAAAAAAGCCCCAACAACCAGGGCCTCCCTGGTGGTGCAAGCAGGTAAGACGCAACCTATGAAGGTGTCCGCAGCCTCTGCAGCACAAGTTTGATCCCCAGCCAGGGAGCTACACACATGGCGCAGCAGACCTCTCCTGACGGCCCGCTGCTCCCCTCAGCAGTGTATTTCAGTCAGTCTGCCTGTTCTGCTCCCCACTCTGTCTCTGATGAATCCTCTCACCCCCCACACACACACATCTGGCCTGTACCCCAGCTCTTGTATGCGTCAATAAACAAATCTTAAAAAAGAAAATAATGATTAGTTAGGATCAGGTGTCAACCCTGCCTGTTACGAAGCAAAGATGAGGGTCAGATCCCTGCTTGCTCCTAGAACAGCTTTCCTTCTCAGGAGGGAGCAGAAAGATCCTCCCCAGAGGCTCTGTCTACTGTGGAGGGGAGGGTGGAAGAAACTCCCAAAGCCCTGGTGGTATGGGGGCTAGAAGACATCATTCCTGGTCCTAACAGATTGTTGATTCATATTGAACTGCAGGGGAGGAGCCATTTGGATGCTCACTATCCCAGGTCCTCCGTGGGTGGGATAACACCCAGGGAAGTAGCCCTGGCCGCAAACACATTCACTGCAGAACATGCCACTCACATCGCTGACCACTGTGATGGCTCTGTCACATGTCACTGTGGCATTCAGATATTCCTTAATCCAGGCATAACTTCCACATCAAGAGATACAAACAGGGCCTCCTTGGTGGCACAAGGGGTTGAGCACCGCATTGTGAGGCAATCCGCGGCCTCTGCCCACATCTCTGGCCTGTGCCCCAGCTCTTGTATGCATAAATGAATTAATCTTTAAAAAAAAAAAAAGAGACACAAACATACAAATCCTTCCCCAGAAGGGTTTCTCATTGAGGGATGTTCTCCAATCCCCTCCTTGCTTACCTCAGGGTATATATTTCTCACTCTCCTTCTAACAGTCTTGTTGCCTCTGTTGTGGACTGTCTATGGGGCGTAAGATCCCAAGATGCTAAGAGACTCAGTGTCGGAGAAACATTGAAATCATTTATGCAATGGCAAGGAGGACTTCAGAGGGTTAGGGTGGTTGCATGTGAAGGAGAGAAAATAAACAAGAGCAGTGTTATGATAGGATCTTCAAAAAAGAAGAATTAAGAGAGTGTCTTGGGAAATTTTTTGAAGCCCTCAAATATTTTTCATTTAAAAAGTGACCATATTGGGCCTCCCTGGTGGCGCAGTGGCTGAGCGCTGGGTTGCAAAGCTGCCCGCAGCCTCTGCAGCACCCGGTTCGATCCCCGGCTGCTCCCCGGCCACCAGAGGAGGGTCCCACATGGCGCGCAGACCTCTCCTGCCGCCCGCTGCTCCCCTCAGCAGTGTGCTTCGGTCCTTCTGCCTGCTCTGCTCCCCGCTCTGGCTCTGGTGAATTCTCTCACTCTCCCGCACTTCTGACTGTACCCAGTGCTTGTATAAATAAATAAATAAATATTTTTAAAAAAAAGTGACCATATTTATAACAGTGTCACGCAATCAGGAATGAATTGAAAGATGCCATTACTGCTGACAAGTAATTTTGTCAGAAAATTTATACCCAAATTCCTCTTCATCAACACTTGATTCATTGGTTTATTCTAGGGATGAACACTTAGTTGCAAGTGTCATTACAAGTTATTAAATATAAAGTCAACTTAATTTCACCTATTTCAGATTTTTTTCAGAGCAAATTCTCAACCGATTTTTTTTTTTCCTTTCAAGCCATATAATTAAGTTTGGACTTTCCATGTTTCAAGGCAAACATTAAGGAGCAAAAGCAAACAAACAAGTCATCCTCATCAAGAGACCAAAAAAAGTCATGGACTAGGAGAAAATATCTTAAAAACACCTAAAGGATTGTTACCCAAAATACACAATGAACTCTTCAAATCCAACAATAAGGAAACAAACAACCTGATTTAAAAATGGGCCAGAAGGGGGCCTCCCTGGTGGTGCAAGGGGTTAAGGCTCAGCACTACGAAGTTATCCACAGCCACTGCAGCATGAGTTCGATCCCTGGCTGGCCAGAAAGCTACCCACATGGCGCAGCAGACCTCTCCTGTCGAGCCCGCTGCTCCCCTCAGCAGTGTATTTCAGTAGATCTGCCTGTTCTGTTCCCCACTCTGTCTCTGGTGAATTGTCTCACCTCCGCACCTCTGGCCTGTACCCCTGTTTTTGTATGTATAATCTTTTTTTAAAAAGGGGAAATTGGGGGCTCCCCAGTGGCGCAGCAGGTTGAGCACAGCGCTGTGAAGCTGTCCGCAGGCTCTGCAGAGTTGGTTTGATTCCCAGCGGGCCAGGGAGAATCCCACATGGTGCAGCAGACCTCTCCTGTTGCGCCTGCTGCTCCCCTCAGCAGTGTCTTCTGTCCCTCTGCCTGTTCTGCTCCCCACTCTGTCTCTGGTGAATCCTCTCACCCTCCCACACCTCTGACTGTACCCCAGCTCTTGTATAAATAAATAAATCTTTAAAAGGGGGGGGAAATTGTGAAAAATAATAGACAAAAACCACATTTATTTTATTTTTTTTTTTAATAGAGGCATGTTTATTTATTTGTTTGTTTGTTTTGTTTATACAAGCACTGGGTACAGTCAGAAGCGCGGGAGGGTGAGAGAATTCACCAGAGCCAGAGCGGGGAGCAGAGCAGGCAGAAGGACCGAAGTACACTGCTGAGGGGAGCAGCGGGCGTCAGGAGAGGTCTGCGCGCCATGTGGGACCCTCCTCTGGTGGCCGGGGAGCAGCCGGGGATCGTCGAACCGGCGCCGCAGAGGCTGCGGGCAGCTTCGCAACCCAGCGCTCAACCGCTGCACCACCGGGGAGGCCCCAAAAACCACATTTAAATGAGATTAGACTATAGGAGAGTGCCCATGTGTGCATACGCAATTAGCAAACTAACAACCTAACATGCCTTGCATCTTCAGGGGAAGTGAGGTTGAAAAAATAATAAAAATAAATAAATAAAATATTTGTATCCCCTATGATGCAAAGTACCCTGTCTGTACGCTAATTTTCACCTTGTTTTATTGAAAGCTAAGTTATTCAGTATCCACGTCTGATTTGCCGGACTGCCTCTCATAGTGATGTACGAATTTACATTTATACTCTCACGTGTAAGAACGCCAGACTCCCTCAGTCTTGCTGACAGTGTGTTTTCAACTTTCGCTTTTTCTGCTTGTTTGTTTATGTGTGAGGTAAAAAAAAATGCATCTGAGTAAGTTTTAATCTGGGTTAAAACAAACACCAAAGTGTTTTCCACAGCAGCTCCTGTAACTGGACTTGGCACCATGGGGCTTGAGCCTCGCCTTCCACTCTTGACTTCAATGTCTCTACACTCGCTCCTCTTTCTAAGCCACAAGTGTTAAAGCTCATTGATGGGGTTCTTCCGGCTGGCAACAGCCCCTAAATACAATCTAATGCCATTGTTTGCCCTTCTGATTTTTATGTTTGCTTTGTTTTTTCCTTGTGCAATTGAGGATTTTTGTTTGTTGCAGTTTCTTAATGGTTTCTTTATATTTCTGGTAAAGCATTGGTTTGCCTTTATATCAATGATAAAAAGTTTACTTTTTATAATAAAATGTTCTTAATATTAAAAAGTCATGGGAGTTAAAGCAATTCTTTTTAAGCCATCACAGGCCTGGATGATTTGGGGAGACGCTGTGTGATCATGCAGAACAGTACCTAGGGAGCTCAGCCCAGGAGAGATGTGTGGTGAGCCTGGCGCTGGTCACCCAGTGGGTCCCTCCTCAGGCACTACTCATTCCAAACTTATGTAGGGAAATTTTAATTCTCATTTTTAAGTCTTTGTGAAAGTCTTTGTGATGAATGCAAAACCTAGGAAGTTGTATCAATATAATATTTGAATGATAAAATAAGTTAAAAAGAAAATTGGAAATGTATGAGCCAGTGAATGCAAGCATCAATTTTTAATATATTAAAAAAATACTGTTATGCTTTTGTTTCTAAAACTGATTGGCACATTTTGCATAATAGTCTTACCCAATCTGGAAGTGGTCTTGATAATTTCTTCAACCACCACCACAGTGGGATCCTATGAATGAGGTTTCAGTAAGCTGAAATTAATTTTTAATCACTTAAGATTCACTGCATACCAAGAAATTATAAAATATGACAAACCTCTCCATGGAAAAGGAGATAAGCTATCGAATATATTTTTAAATACTATTGATGAGTTTGCTGCCTGAAGACAAGCAGATAAAATTATAATAAATTCTGCTTTTGGTATAAGTGAAATATTTAAGATTGAAATAAGTTTTACTATACCTATTTGCCAGGTTTTCAATATTTTTCAAATATCTCCATGTTAATTGGAAAAATTAGCCATTAAAATTGAATAAAAGCACGTACGAACCAATGGGCATCCTTCCATTTACCTTGGGCTTGGGTTCCTCAGTGCAATCTTGGAAGACTATGGTATTTAGTAGTTAGTGTACTCTCCAAATTGACACGGTCTCCCGTTTCTCTGATTTTGAGTTGGGATTTCTCCCCCAAAACAATCCTGAATCTGTTAAAGAAAAAAAAAATCTTAATACCATGGCATTTTTTTGGGGGTCTTTGAGACCCTCAATTAATGGACTCCTTGTAAAACACTATCAGAGAAAGGAAAAATAAACCACCAGAAACAGGCCCCAAATGCAAGGCTCTGTGCCTCTAACAAGCCCTCAGCACTCAGTGCCATATGGAAGTTTCTTCCCGCTGAGGAGGCACCGAGCTGAGTCAGCGCGCCCAGCCAGTGTCTCCAGGAGTGGAGGAACCTGCTGGAAACACATCTCTGGTTGTCCTTGTGGAAACCAGGTGGGTGAGACAGGCCAGTGCAAGCGCCCTCTGCCAGCAGTCACTGCCCCAGGAGGAAAGCGCCCACCCCTGTTAGCGGTGACCGCGCGCCCCCTCCTGGTCATCCTGGGAGTCACGAAAATAATTCTTGTTTTCCTATTGTTAAATTCCTTTTTTTTTTTAAATTGCGGTAACAAGGTTTACAAAGCTGTACGTAATTTAGATTACAAAGCTGTACGTAATTTAGTGGTGTAGGTTCACACCAGATGTATGTTACCACACCACACCCAGCACATGGCAATAAGGATGCTCTGCTCCAGCCAACCCTGTTCTCTGGGCTGGCACGTCTTAAGAATCTCGCCCTGGAAATAAGAAACCACTTTTCTTTTGAGTGTCAAATGAATTCATTAACCTATTATTAATATAATTATTTATATATTTACATAACTTAATTATTTAACTGGTGAGGCCACTTTAACTGGTGGCCTCATAAATATAGACTACAATTTTTCATATGCTAAGCAACAGAAAATTGTTTCCTCACCAAAATATTTGGGTCAAATAAAAAGTTGACACCCTTTGGACCCTCGTATATTGTTGGTGAGAATGTAAACTGGTGTGGTTACTATGGAATACAGTATGGAGAGTCCTCCAAAAACTAAGAACAGAAATACCATTTAGGAGAGCAGCCCGGATATTGAACGGGTTCCTGGCTGTGGGTCCTCACCTGCGCACTTAAAAGGGACTTATGAATACTCCACTACAGGCACACACACAAGGTTAATAAAAGGTTTATTTACAAGGGAAAAGGAAATAAGGAAAAGGTACAACTCAGGGAGAAAATAGGGAAATAAAGTCTTTAATGCGTCCTACCCGATCCGCCGACCTGGAAACCCAAAGTCACTCTCAGAGTTGGCCGGACGCTGCGAGCTGGCTGAGAGCCAAAATGGGGGCCCCCAAAGCCCACGTGTCTGCCTTTTATATCAACCTGGCTGCTTAACCCCACCCTCAGGTCCCAGCCACCTTCCCTTTGGTGGTGATGGGATTTGGAGTTCCCAGTTTCTTTGGCTTTGGCCTGGGGTGGGGGTGGAGTCCACAAAGCCTGTATGGAATTAGCTTTGGGACATCCTTTTCCCCCTAACAATTCCACTTTTAGGTCTTTATCCAAAGAACATGAAAACATTGATTTGAAAAGATAGTTGCACCCCTATATTCACTGCAGCACTATTTATAATAGTCAAGATGTGGAAACAAGCTAAGTGCCCGTCAATGGGGGAGTGGATAAAGACGTAGCCTGTATACATAATGGAATACTACTCAGATATTTGAAAAGTGAAAAACTGTCATTTGCAATAACATGAATGGAATTAGAGGGAATTATACTAAATGAAAAAAAGACAAATATCATATGATTTCACTCACGTGTGGAAGGTAAAGAAACAAAGCAAATAAGCAAGCTAAACAAAACAAAACAGACTCAGAGAACAGATTGATGGTTGCGGGACAGGAAAGTCTGGTGGGGGAAAGTGGGTGTAGGAGGTCTATGGCACAGTGGTGAATGACAGTGACATAATGCTCTACACCTGAAACTTACATAATTTTTAAAAAGATTTGTTTACTTATGCGTACAAGAACTGGGGTACAAGCCAGAGGTATGGGTGAGAGGATTCACCAGAGACAGAGTGGGGAGCAGAACAGGCAGACTGACTGAAATACACTGCTGAGGGGCATAGTGGGCAAGGCAGGAGAGGTCTGCCACACCATGTGGGTAGCTCCCTGGCCGGGGATCGAACTCAAGCTGCAGTGGCTGCGGATAGCTTCATAGGTTGCGTCTTAACCCCTTGCACCACGAGGGAGGCCCAAAACTTATGTAATTTTATCAGCTATTGTTATTTACATAAAAATGAACTTTAAAATGTTAACAGTTTTTTATAAAAATCATAGTTAAAAACAGCAAAACCGCTTTATACTAATTTTTCAAATTTCTCTTCTATCTTCATTAAAAAAAAGTTATTTCCGGTCACCTTGGAACATATGAAATTCATTGAGTGCCAGGCAGGTTCTCTAGTCTCCTACTTTGATGGTGAGAGCCTGACATGACAGGGTCGGAGTGCAAACCCACAGGGAGCTTCCTTTCTGCACTAACTTTCTACCCATACCCTTGATAATATTTTCTTCTTTTTTTTAAGATTTATTTATTTTTGCATACAAGAGCTGGGATGTGGGCCAGAGGTGCGGGGGTGGGGGGCGGGTGAGAGGATTCACCAGAGACAGAGTGGGGAGCGGAACAGATGGATTGGCTGAAATACACTGCTGAGGGGAGCAGCTGGCGAGACAGGAGGTCTGCTGTGCCATATGGGTCAGCTTCTTGGCCAGGGAGTGGACTCATGCTGCAGTGACTGCAGAGGCTGCAGATAGCTTCATAGTACTGACACTTAACCCCTTGCACCACACTACAGGGCACACTGCTAGAGCCAGAGGAAGCAAGCAATGTGGACTTTAGGGCCCGGTGGTGCAAGGGGTTAAGCACCGCACTATGAAGCAGTCTGCAATCTCTGCAGCACCAGTTTGATCCCTGGCTAGCCAGGGAGCTACCCCCATGGCGCAGCAGATCTCTCCTGACACGCCCGCTGCTCCCCTCAGCAGTGTATTTCAGTCAGTCTGCCTGTTCTGTTCCCCACGCTGCCTCTGGTGAATCCTCTCACTCCCTGGATCTCTGGCCTGTATCCCAGCTCTTGCATGCATAAATAAATAAATCTTTAAAAAAAAATATGGACTTTACCCACAAATAATCTTGGTTTGTGCCTCAGCCATCAACACTCCCTCAGGGACCTGTGGAAAGGCTTCTTTTGTTTTGCCCAGCTTGGTGTATTCTCAGGGCTGAATCAACTTCACAGGTAACTTTTGTCAAAAGCATTTAGAGGCGGGCCTCCCCTGTGGCGCAGCGGTTGAGCACTGGGTTTCGAGGCTGCCCGCGGCCTCTGCAGCGCCGGTTCGATCCCCGGCTGCTCCCCGGCCACCGGAGGAGGGTCCCACATAGTGCGCAGACGCAGACCTCTCCTGCTGCCCGCTGCTCCCCTCAGCAGTGTACCTCGGTCCTTCTGCCTGCTCTGCTCCCCGCTCTGGCTCTGGTGAATTCTCTCACCCTCCCACGCCTCTGACTGTACCCAGTGCATGTATAAACAAACAAATAAATAAATAAAAAACATGCCTCTATAAAAAAAAAAAAAGCATTTAGAGGCATAGGTGTTGGTCCCAGAAACCTGGGAAATTTAAGATGAAAGGGTTGAGGTGCAGTTGTTTGGTTTTTTTTTTAAAGTCTGTAAAAGTTAGGTTTGGCTGTGTTTAACTTACAAGCAGTTTTGAATTTAAGTGTCTTCAGAGATGCAGACTAATTTTGTCCTATGGAAAAACAAGATGAGAATTCTAAATAACAGAATGACGCAAATATGCTTTGATTTCAGGGGCAGAAACCCTGTGACACGTGATGGGAGAGGTTCCCAGTTATGACAGCACCGAGCACCCAGCAGGCCCTGGTTGTGAGAACCAGCTCAAGGACGGGTGGGGCCTGCCCTGCAGGTCACGGCTAAAGTTCACTCTTCTTCGCTCTTTCCAGTCTACATTTTCTGCATCTCTGACCTTTCAGAATCTTTGGATCTAGGATGAAACCGGGGGGCGCTATTCAGCCCCACGGAGATGAGACTGGGGCAAAGGATGAAATTATCCGCGAACATTCAAAGTTGCCCAAAACACGGGCTGGAAAGTGGGAGGGGTGACACCACATTTTTCGGTTATGAGATGCACAGCAGACATTCTAAACAGATGAGTCACCCAAACCAAACAGGAAAGGAGCGAATATCAACAACTAATACTCCCTGGTGTGGGAGGTCAGGACGGCACCCGCTGTACCAGGAGAGGACGTGGCGTTCGATGCTATGGTCTCATGCTATTTCCAGAACAGTCCTCAGCGTCTGAGCGCTTATGGCTTCAAGAGACACCACCAAGATGACCAGCTGAAAACAGGGAAGCCTGTAGGCTCCTGAAGAGGAGTTTGCTTTTTGAAAAGGAAACGACCCAATAAAGCCGTCACAGATTGCGCAGCCCAGAGACAAGGCCGGGAGAGGGTGCTGTACACATAGGAAAGTTTCCAGAAACAGTTACAACCCAACAGGACCACAAGCTCACCTGGCCCTCTCCTGAGTCCTCAGCAGGAAGGAGCTGCCGGTCCTCACAGGAGCTGCACCGACTCCGACGAAACCCAGAGAAGTGGAGCCACTTGTCTCACGGGCACAGCCTCTGCGGAAGGAAAACAAACCCTCCCTGCTCTCCTCCACTGTCTTCTACTCTTTTCCATACTCGAGCCCCTTACCGGAAGCAGAGGGCTCCTCACAAGCCTCATTGGCCCCCAAGGACAAAGGAGACTTGACCCCTGACCCTTGAGAAGGACCCCCTCTCACCCTAGAGTGTAACTTGCAAGTACTGCATGGTCCCTGGTGAAGGACCCCCTTAGTGGGAACCTGCATCTGCCAAAACATGTGACCTGAGCAAAGGAGTCAGGCTCTGTCCTCAAGACATTTTAACCATGAAATAACAGAGACAAGGCCTGTACCTATGAGGGATAGGAACCGGCCAAATCCATAGGATGGCAGATTGGGGTGGCGGTCACTAGGGGCTGGGGGGAAGGGAAATGAGGGTTCCCAAACATCCGGCATAAAGCTTCAGTGGAGTAAGATGACTAAGCTCTGGCATTCTGCTTACGACAAGGTACCTGGAGGCACGATAGTGTTGCGTGCACTTCAAATAGAGTTCAAGTGAAGTGTTCTTACCAAATAAAAAGTTAAAAAAATAAATAAACAAACAGAGGGGCTCTTGAACTAGGTTGCTGGGTTTGAATGCTGAGCCTGGCATCTTTGTGTACCAGTTTCCTCTTTGTACCTAAGGATAACAGTCACCAGAGAGGAGTAAATGTGTTGTTCTTTCTTCCGTGTGATGCACTTAGCACTGGGCATGGCACCTAGGAAGCCCTGAGTCATCAGTGCCATCTGCTATTATTCCTGCTCCACTAGATTTGTTAGACATACTAAGGTATATTTAAAATGTGGACTTAGCTGGTACATACAGGTTCAATACATGGAAGTTACTGGGATGGTTCCACTGGGCAGTTAAACATGCGTTTGGTACCTTGTCACTTAGGTTGTACTGACACTTAACAGAGTCTTGAACTATTTAACTTTCCATATTCCTACTGGATTGCAAATAAACTGAAGGCAAAGTCCAAAACAAGTGCTTTTTTGAGTTCCTCCTTTTGCAGATTTATATGTAGTCTGGGTTTAACCTATAGGTAGGGCATAGAATGAACACATTTTAAAAGCAAGAACCTCCAACAGACCACCTAGACCAGCCCTGCACTTGTGGGTTTATCTAAACACACACACACATACACACACACAGTGAAATGTGATGAAATATCTCACATACTCTCTCTCTTTCACACACACACACACACACACACACACACACACAACTTTCAGAATGAGTCACGTTGTTTACAAAGTGATAAAGTTTCCAGTTGAAATAACAATCCTGTCCATTCCTCTGCTTTTTCAAATCAGGAAAAAATGACAGACATCTCTGCCACCCAGCCTGTCGACCACCCCACAGAAGGTACCACCAGAAAATCAGGTTAATTAGAGTTCAGGGGAGATCCCTTCATATCTAAAAATCCACCCCAAATACAAGAAACTAGATTTCTTTAGCTTCCTTGACGTTTAAGTGTGTGATCCCGTTTCCTCTGGCAATGAAACTATTCAATGGGTATGTAGTTCTATAAAGGGGGCTTAAACCAGACTCTTACCCTTACAACTCATTATTCTTTCCCAGGGAGCAGGGCTCAGAATCTTCCAGAGAGTGATTCCACTCCTAGAGGTGGCATTCTGTATTGGCAACCACACAGGGTTGCCTGGGATACCCTGTTCAGAGGCTGCTGTGTCACTTTTACAAACTGCTCCCTTAAGAACTAATACAGGATATTGTAGTTTCCTGCTCTACAATGGCTTGGACAGCCTTTTGTCTTTATAGTTTCAGAGTATCTCTTCCAATTTTCTAATTATGGAACAATCATGGTATTGTATGAAGTTAGGAAAATTTAGGAAACATTAAAATGAAATATTAAATATTAATATTAAATATTAATATTACAGGTGTAATTTTACCTGAAATTCCAAACTCAATGGTAATTTCTGCTATTTTATTGTAAGCCAGGATGTGGATACCCCAAATGCCCCCAAAGATATGACTGGATCAAAAAGCTGTGGCATACATACACAATGGAATATTACTCAACGATCAAAAAAGAAACATGCTATTTGTAGCAACATGGAGGGAGCTGGAAGGGATTATGCTAGCTGAAATAAATCAGAAGGAAAATGATAACTATCGGATGGTCTCACTTATATGTGGAATATAGAGAAACCAAAGGTCAAGAAAAAGTCAAAACTAGCAAGCTGAGCATAAATCTGAGGCATATAGCAAAGGAGGGGTTAAGGAGGGAGGTCAAAACAGGAGGGATGAACACGAAGAGAATATGGTGATGGTTCACAGGTAATATGGTGGTGGGAGCACTATGGGGACTACAACGATGTAGGAAAAAATTATTTTATTGTAGTTCTGTTTTCTTTTGAACATTACATGGGAGTTTAAAACAAACTTGGTCAAAAAAGACAAAGTTGCATTGTTCAAGAGCCTAAAAAAAATAAATTAATAAAACAAACTTGGAACTATGCTTAACATTACACTAGAGTAGTTTTCTCATAATTATTCTTTAAACATTCCCTTCTGCAGGGCCTCCCTGGTGGCACAGGGGTTAAAGACAGAGCTATCAAGCTACTGCCAGCCACTACAGCACGAGTGCGATCCATGCCGGCCACATGGCACAGCAGACCTCTCCTGTCTCTCCCGCTGCTCCCCTCAGCAGTGTATTTCAGTAGATCCACCTGTTCTGCTCCCCACTCTGTCTCTCAAGAATCCTCTCACCTCCCACACCTCTGGCTTACACCCCAGTTCTTGTATGCATAAATAAATAAACCTTTGAAAAAAAATTCCCCTCTACAATTTAAACAATGAAAATTGTTATCTCTGTATACAGTTGCTGTTTTTTATATATAAATTTTCTGTTTATGATTATTTTTTAGCATAGCTTTCTAGAAATAGGTTTAGTGTGCCACAAAGTATAAAAGATTTCTAAGGTTCTTGACATAATATACAGATTTGCTCCCTGAAATGTTAAAATTTGTGCTTCTATCAGTGAGGTGTATTTCTCTGGACATTCAGTATTAATGTTGTATCATCTTTGCCAATTTGATGAGAGAAATTATACCTTGTTATTGAATTACTTTATATTTTTTATATCTTTTTAATTATTAATGAAGTGGAAAATTTTCCATCTCGGCCATTTGTAAGTCTAAATGGTGAATTGTTCATATTCTTTATGCATTTTTAAATATTTGAACAATTTTAAATTTGAAAAAAGTCCTTAAAATTTTAAGTACATGAATATTTTATTGGTGAAATTGGGCATCCCTGTCTTGTTCCTGATCTCAGGACATTTCAGGCTTTTACCACTGAGTATGTCTTAGCTTTGTGTTTTTCACACATGCCTTTTATTATGTTGTGGAGATTTCTATTCCTAGTTTATCATGAAAGGTGTTCAGTCTTACGAAATGTTTTTCATATGGCTCTCATAAGTTCTCATTTCTAGGTGACATATTTGTTTCTATTGTGAATTAGCTAGTAGTGACATTCAGAAGTCACTTTGTATGGTCAAGTTTAGCATTTCATGTCACCATTTTAGTGAATTTGGTAAGTTTCAGTATCAATTCCTTATTTTCCGTGGAGAAAAATCACCTACAACAGCTGACACGTGAGCACTTATCATTGCCAGGGACTGTTCTAAGTCATTTAATCCTTACAACCACCTCTTTGAAGGGAGTATTATTATTATCCCTATTTCACAGATGAGGTAGTGAAACATGAGTTTTGCCCCTGTCTGAAGAGCAAATATGTGGCAGAGTCAAAATTCAAAACCAATCCAAGCCGCCTAGCTCCAGTGTTCATTTACTCAAACACCAGACCATACACTAGCTCTGTATTGATTAGATTAACTCCTCCAGCCCCTGCCTTTATTTCTATTTGAAGACAGAAGGTGGGTAAAACTTTCAGACCAATTCTAATTATAGTGATAGCAAACATTCTTCTCTTGTTAATTTTAACTGGACTATCTCTAATGTTTCATGTTTAAATATGATGATGGCTATAGTTGAAAAAAATTTTGTAGTGTATGAATATTAATAATGTATATTATTAATGAAGATGAAGAATAAATAATCTATTTGGAAGTGGGAAGGGTTGTGAAACTTTATTGATAAGGACTTCTATTCCAAAGGTTTGTTCCAATCATTTTTATAGAACATAAAATATCAACATTGTCTTGTTGAGAAATCACTCTGGCCATAGTATTGAAGTTGATGTAAGAATAACATTAGCCTCTTATTGAGGCAAGAATCCATATCTGAAGAATTTGACCAATATGATACATATATATCATATATATAAAATCAATTCAATAACTTACTTTAAACAAAAAAATCAAGAGGGCAGCTCTTGTGGGAGGTTGATCTGCACATTTTATTTAACAAACATAATGTACAATGACTAGAAGAACTGTGTATTCCCAGGAGAATTAAGAGTGTATAACCTGTATTAGCACCTAGAAAGTACATAGAAAATAAAAAGGGTAAAGTTTACTAAAATCACCTGTTCCAGGTTTCTAAGAGCAGGTTCTAAGACATTTGATAGTATCTCATTGCATTCCATGACATTGGTGATCAAGTGAGTCCATTAACTGCTGCATGTCTCAGCACTTTATGACAAGAGATGTGTTAACTTGATGGCTTTTATATGTAAATTGAGTAAAGGATAAAAAGTTTTATGCTCACCCTAGTTTTAATGCAAAATTACTGTACTACAAATCTAGTATATTACTTGGAAGATACTGGGAAAGCAGGCAAACCTTTTTAAACTGCTAGTGTCATGTGAATTTGTTCAAGAATGGTGCCCTGGGAATTATAATTTCACAGGTATATTGATATCATCTGTACAAATCACTGATAGGAAGGAGGATAAGTGGAGTATTTAGGTTATGAAAGGTTCCATTAAGATTAGAAAAGTTTCCACATTGCTGGTGGCTTTAAAGCCTCAGTGAATGAATATCAATAAACATTATACTGTGCTTTTAATGCAATATTCTTTGGTTGCATCATATTAACCACCAAGAGGGTAAGTCCCTTGCTTATGAAATAGGTCAGTGGTTCTTAAGTGGGGGTGATTTTGCCCCTAGGAGACATTTGGCAATGTCTGGAGGTCATTTTTCACAATCGTGGTGGGGTGGGGTAGAGGTGGTTCTAGTGGTATCTAGTGGGTACAGAGGGTAGGGACGCTGCTGAATAGCCTACAAAGACAGAGCACCCCTGCCACAAAATTCCTCAGGCCCCAAATGTCAACAGTACTGAGGTTATAACAATATGCATTTGAGTTGTCTATAAAGTCAAAAGTATGCTACAGAGGCAAAAAGGCACCCCTGTTCTTTATCCCTGAGGGATCCCCATCAGCTCTCACCAAGAGTCCTGTTCCTTACTCTTTTGACCCAGACCTAAGGTCTGCTCCTTCCATCAACAACCTCTATAAATATTTGCTGAATGAATGGAGGAGGTATCAAGAGGCATGATTCAGAGCTTTCAGTTGACTATATTGAACAGCATCTTTATGTGACCTAATAATTACTTTGAACCTCAATGGTGTCATAGTCTGACTAGACAGGATCTCAAAGTTAGAGCTAACATTTTGTTAAAGATGGAAACAACATTTTAAGGGAAGTATGTCTAACACTTCTAGATTCATTTTAGTGGGGCAAAACAAATAAAATGATGTTAATGGCAAACAGTCAATATACTTCATTCCAAACTAAAAAATTAACACATTAAATGCCATGCACAGCAGACACCATTTTTTTTTACATATTTACAATATTACATATTTACTTAACAATATATCTTCTATCTTTACAATTTATAAAATTATCTCAAACTGTAGAATAGTGGTACCATTGAATTCCCTTAAACATACACTTTGTAGCATTCACTTGTTTTATCCTTTAAAAGGCAATTATTATTTACCCAAATCCAATTAAAGTGAATGCCACAGAGGAAGCACGTGGAAACCATGGAGAAAAAATAGATTTAGACAAAATCTTCACACAAACCTTAAATGAATCTATTTCATTAACGCAAATAAATAGTATTTTATTAATCACTAAACTGCCCTGCCAGGAAAAACAAAACAAAACAATCCCCACAACTGTACCTTTAAAAATGCTCTGACATTTATAAGCAATTAAGTTATAGTCTAGATCCTAATCAGTGGGCTGTAGTAAGGACTAGCTACAATTCAGGTTCAAATAAATACTATGTATGTAAATTTTTATCATCCTGCATAAACCTGAGGTTGCAATGGTGGAGGAAGTTTATCATTTTCAACATTTTCAGAGTCAATAGCTGCTAAAGATTGATTTGGGGGCTTAATTTCAAGTGGATATTTCTCAACAATGTCTTGAACCTCTTTTGCAATTCCATCAGTCCAATCTATTAGGTCTTTTTCAAGTTTTTTGGCTTCATTCATGATTCTTTCCTGTCGTTCATTCAATTGGGACAGGAGATCCAAGTTCTTATACATTTGCTTAACACCTACGCAAGCATCAGGAGACCAATTCTCAGATTCTTGCTTCCTGGGAGAAGTCTGGCCAGACATATATCGATCAAAATCTTCCTGACTTAAATTCAGTGACTGAGCATCTAATTTCTCAATGAAAGCCACAGCACAGCACTACAAAAGAAGAGAATGTTATTAGTCATAATCATATTAAATTATTCCCTTATTATGCAGAATTTTAAGTAATGAAGCAAAAGTAGATAAAATAGTTTAATGAACCCGCAGCCTCTGCAGTGCCAGTTCGATCCCCGGCCGCTGGCGAGGGTCCCACATGGCAGCGCGCGGACCTCTCCTGCCCCGCCCGCTGCTCCCCTCAGCAGTGTATTTTGTCCATCTGCCTGTTCTGTTCCCTGCTCTGGCTCTGGTGAATTCTCTCACCCTCCTGCGCTTCTTACTGTACCCAGTGCTTGTATAAATAAACAAATAAATCTTTAAAAAAAAATCAGGGCCTCCCTGGTGGTGCAGGGGTTAAAGTCAGCGCTATCAAGCTATTACCAGCCACTGTGGCAAAAGTTGGATCCCTGGCCAGTGAGCTGACCCACATGGCACAGCAGACCTCTCCTATCTTACCCACTGTTCCCCTCAATAGTGTATTTCAGTAGATCTGCCTGTTCTGCTCCCCACTCTGTCTCTGGTGAATCCTCTCACCCCTTGGATCTCTGGCCTACACACCAGTTCTTGTATGCATAGATAAATAAATCTTTAAAAAAAATCAACTTAAATGCCAACTCCCACTGAGTGACTGTTGGAAATTCAGTCCTCTCCTTGGGTTGTTTAAAAGTCCTAGGGTCATGTACAGAGTGAAGTACTTCAGGAGACACCTTTAGAATATGTTCTATCTGGTTACTACAGAGCTACCTGTGGACAAAAACCAAAGGACTCCTTCAAGTCAGAGGCCCCTGCTTTCCTGTTATGTTGCAGGGCAGAAGCAGCATTGCTGTGGCCAGGAGCTCCAGGGACAAGTGTCTGGAGCCCCATAGAGCTATTCCCTTTTGAGGTCTTGGCAGCTCCACAATGCCCACCCTTGGCATGGCCAGCCACTGACATGTCGTTAAGGTACTGATGTGGCACACAGAACTCTAATCCTAAAAGATAATTTAATGTCAAATTACTCCCCCCCCCAAAAAAAAGCTTTGAAATCAGACAATATGAGTTATCACCTGTGTTCTTTGACAGCCAAATGTTATGTGACCCTAAGAAAGTTATTTAGGCATCTGTAAAATTGGGAAATACCACCTACATATATTGTGAGAACTAAACATATCACCTGTAACAGAGCAGATGTACCATGCTTGGCTCATAGCTCTGTATTAAGCAATGAGTAAGTGGTAAAAATACTAGGGAAAGGGCCTCCCCTGGTGGCGCAACGGTTGAGCGCTGGGCTGCAAAGCTGCCCGCAGTGTCTGCAACACTGGTTCGATCTCCGGCTGCCAGCGAGGGTCCCACATGGCACGACAGACCTCTCCTGCCGCGCCCACTGCTCCCCTCAGCAGTGTATTTCGTCAGTCTGACTGTTCTGTTCCCCGCTCTGACTCTGGTGAATTCTCTCACCCTCCCCCACTTCTGACTGTACCCAGTGCTTGTATAAATAAATAAATAAACCTTTTAAAAATAATAAAAAAATAAAGAGTTGTACTTTAAAAAATTTTTTTAAAAATTTAAAAAATTAAAAAAATTTTAAAAAACCTAGGGAAAATGTTCTGTTAAACAGACGTGTGTTAGTCATACTTTCCTATTTTGATTAAATAATCAAATAATCTCATTTAATTGAATAAAGGTAAAAATATATTTTTGAGAGAAAAACATGTAACATAAAAATAGGCAGTTTTCAGAATTTCTTCTGAAAAACTCATCCACAGGATCCTACATTATTACCCATAAAACTGTAAGTGGATTTTTTTCTTCAAGGAATATTTAGTATATCTATTGTACTTGGTTCATCTGATGAGAACATGCCCATCTGAATCTTCCCTCAGGCTCACACTTTGTGTGGAATAGCTGCAGCTCCTGTTCTCGGGGGAGAGGAGGAATCTAATCTAAGATGATTGTAATATTCCCGACTTAGGTAAATATACACACGTACTGCCACTAATGTGAACAGTGTATACTGGAAACCAAAAAATAATTTGATGGAGAAGCATTTTCAATTTGTAACAAAATAAATTTGAGACAAAATAAACAGCTAGAAGTGTAGCTCAAAAGAGGTAGTATAAACCTTTGGGTCATCACTGTACAGGTGGCCAGCAGAGATCTGTAACCAGATGAGACAGTCCAAGGAGAGGGCTGTATATAAGACAGACCCTCAGGAAATAACATAAGTCAAGAAAAAATAGTGGACAAAAAAATCTATGGGATGCAGAAGAAGTGGGATGAAAATCATTGCAAATAATAGTACAAACATCATTTTGAAGGGAAAAAATAGACAAAACACTCTATGACATAGGCTGCCAGTGACATTTTTATGGATACTTCTCCAACAGCAAGAGAAACAAAAGAGAATATAAACAATTGCTACTATATGAAATTAAAGGTTTCTGGGCCTCCCCGGTGGCGCAGCGGTTGAGTGCTGGGTTGTGAAGCTGCCTGCGGCCTTTGCGGCACTGGTTCGATCCCCGGCTGCTCCCGGCCACCTGAGGAGGGTCCCGCATGGCGCACAGACCTCTCCTGCCGCCCGCTGCTCCCCTCAGCAGTGTGCTTCAGTCCTTCTGCCTGCTCTGCTCCCCGCTCTGGCTCTGGTGAATTCTCTCACCTTCCCGCGCTTCTGACTGTACCCAGTGCTTGTATGTATAAATAAAAATAAAATCTTTAAAAAAAAAAAAAAAAAAAATTAAAGGTTTCTGTACAGCGAAAGAAACTATCACTAAAACAAAAAGACACCCTACTGAATGGGAGAAAATATTTGCACATCATACATCTGACAAGGAGTTGATATCAAAGGTCTAAAAAGAACCCATACAACCCAATAAAAAGAAAACAAAAAGGAGAGCCTCCCCGGTGGCGCAGTGGTTGAGCGCTGGGTTGCGAAGCTGCCCGCGGCCTCTGCGGCGCCGGTTCGATCCCCGGCTGCTCCCCGGCCACCGGAGGAGGGTCCCACATGGCGCGCGGACCTCTCCTGCGGACCTCTCCTGCCGCCCGCTGCTCCCCTCAGCAGTGTACTTCGGTCCTTCTGCCTGTTCTGCTCCCTGTTCTGGCTCTGGTGAATTCTCTCACCCTCCCGCGCTTCTGACTGTACCCAGTGCATGTATAAACAAACAAACAAACAAACTAAATAAATAAAACATGCCTCAAAAAAAAAAAAAAAAAATAAAACAAAAAGGAGGCAAAGGGCATCCCCTGGTGGCGCAGCAGTTGAGCGCTGGGCTGCGAAGCTGCCTGCAGCCTCTGCAGTGCCAGTTCGATCCCTGGCCACCAGCAAGGGTCCCACATGGCACGCAGACCTCTCCTGTTGCACCCACTACTCCCCTCAGCAGTGTACTTCATCAGTCTGCCTGCTCTGTTCCCCGTTCCGGCTCTGGTGAATTCTCTCACCCTCCCACACTTCTGACTGTACCCAGTGCTTGTATATATAAATAAATAATCTTAAAAAAAAAAAAAGGAGGCAAAAGAGCTAAACAGGCGCTACAGATGGCTTACAGGTGTATGAAAAATGCTCATTATCACTTATCATCAGAGAAATGCACATCAAAACTATAATGAGATACCACCTCACACATGAAAGAATGGCCCACATCAAAAGACCAGAAACAACAAATATTGGCAAGGATTTGGGAAAAAAAGGAGCCCTTATAAAATTGTTGCTGGGAATTTAGACAGGTCCAATCCCTATGCATAGAGATGTCTCAAAATATTAAAAATGGATCTACCACATGATCCAGCTATTCCACCTCTGAGTTATCTACCAGAAGGATACAAACACACTAACTGGAAGGGACATATGTGCTCTCATGTGCATTGGAGCACTATTCACAACTGCTAAGCTATGAAGCAACCTAAGTGCCCAAATAGGAAGATGTGTTATGTATACATGATGGAATACTACTCAGCTATCAAAAGATACTCTTGCCTTTTGTGATAACATAGATGGAACTGGAGGGAACTGTGCTAAGCAACATAAGTCAGAAGGAGAAAACAATTACTGGAATATGTGGAATACAGAGAAACAAAACAAAAGGTCAGACAAAACCGAACCAACAACAAACTTGAAAAATCTGACTGTAGAACTGAGACTAGCAGGAAAATGGGAGAGCAAAGTAGGGAGGGGCGCTGTAATAGGGGACTATAGTGGAACACTTCCCCCTACCTTGCTGGTAGGTGTGATCCTCTACCTCTAAATCGTATACAATGTTGTAAACCAATGTTACCTCAACAGAAAAAGAAAAAGGTCCCCCAAAAGCAGCATTCCCAAGTCTCTCTGAAACAGCCTAGGTAAAAGAAATTGCAAGCCAGTACCCATTCTTTTGTGTGGGGGCCTGTAACACCTCCAGCTGCAATCCAGATGCCCCAGATGTTGGTAACTATGGTGACAAATAGCTAAGGGTGATGGAATAAGAGGGGAAGGCCTGGGTCTTGGGAGACCTGAAGCTTACACACTTTTGGGATAAGAAAAATAAAGGACAAGTACAAAATTAGGTACAGAAGTGAATATAGAGTTAGGTTGTAAAAATAACAAATTTGTGGAGCCCTGGATATTCAACTGTGGGTTCTGAGATCTTTTTAGGCAATTGTCCAGAAATGCTTCCTTCCTCCTGTAGCCCAATTTCCCCTCCCTCCCTATTACCCTGTACTACTTTCAGCATAGGAAACAAAGCACAAGTGGTGTCCTGAGGCTGAAAGTCATTAGCTTGACAATAAATCTAGGCCAAAGCAAACAAGGAGAAATTTAATGGTTGGTGAAAGGAAGGATTTGACCTTATAATTTAGATAAACATAATTTAATATTTTCTCGCTTAGATCTAACAAAACAATAATTGAAAATCATTGCATATCCTCTAAAGTGATTTTTTTTTGTTAAAATAATCTCAATATTTAGTTCTAAGAGGTAACCTATAAAGAAAACAAAATACAAATTTTAAGCCTTTTAATGAAGGAATCAGAGAACAAGATTTGACTTATTCATGGTTGAAACACCCAACTAAGCAATGGCTCTCATACCCATAACCCTCAGGAGTGATGGCCAACAAAAGCCAGTGATGATGGCACCTCAGCATGGCCGTCATGTTTCCCATAAGAGTACCACAGTCTTTGGTCAAGTATCGGGAGGTGGGGTCACCTGTGCGCTGTAATAGCAAGCAGGCATTCGCAGCTGTGCTGACTCCTCAACTCAGGGGCATTATCATGTCACATGCCTGTAAGTGATCTGTCATATCCTTAAATAACTTTATAGTTCTTTTCATAACACCAAAAAATCAAATACTTACAAGGTTGGTGAAATAGTAACCATCCTCTCCAGTCATCAATCGGCTTGGATTGCAGAAGCGGGTAATATACTGGATATTGGACTGAAGGCGCGGGGGGTTGCCCTTCAAAACAATGTAGATGAGTGTGGGTAAGAAGTCATCGGCTGAAGCTGGCTCATTCTTAGTGATTTTGATGGCATTGAAGATATGCTTACTGCACTTGGTGATGCAGGCCAACTTATCTCGAGGTACACGTTTAGAATCCATTTCAATGATATCTAAAAAGCAGAAAAGATACTACTTCCAATGAAAAAATCATTACATAAAAGAGCGGTATCAGTATAATAATTTTTTATCTATGAAGTTAGAGGTACCCTTATTAATGCCTTTTCCACCAGTTAAACTAGTATATGAAAAACTCAGAAGATGGCAAAAATGGTAAGTACTAGCTCATACTTATAGAACACATGACATGACCCCGAGCCAGGCACTACCAGCACAGTAAGCGCAGCAAGCATAGTTCTTTACAACTTCAGATTACACAATGGATACTATTATTATTAAGGGCAAAGAGGCTGAAGAAGTTTGATGATTTGCCCAAGATCAGAGAGACCATGAGTGACAGAGGCAGTTGATATAAAACCAAGTCCATCCAACTCTAAAGCCAATGCTTTTAATCATGACACTAAACTGCTTATGGGTTCCATGAAGAAATAGGAAGAGTCTTTTAACTGTTTCTGTTCCTCTAATACATTGCAAAATTCAATTTGGAAAGTCTCAATTTGCAAAGTGTTTTTTAGGAAGCAAACGCAAAGCATCTCTGTATTGGAAATCAAAAACAGTTGCTGAAATCCTTCACACAAAGGTGATAGTATGTAAAACCATGCCCATGGCAAATCACTACTATAAACATCTACAATACCTCTATGACACTTACAACCTGCTGATCAGTGGAGGGATAAATTTAACCTCTTGAATAGCATTTTATTTCTCTTAGAGAGAAATTTCACTGCCCTTGACTAAAATGCACACTATTTCTCACAAAGACTGGGAGGCAGTGACTAGTCTATCAGCATCACTAGAATAACAAAGAGGAGAGTGGGAGTGTGCCTTTGGATGTACATGCCTGCCTGCAATCTAGAACATCACGAAAGAAAAGAGCCAAGGCAGCTTAATTTGACAGCAATTTCTTGCCACTAGCAGGATTTTAAGTTTCAGATTTAGGCAGCATGTTAGTGCACACCAAAGAGTTCTTTCTGTTCTCAGCTCTCATCCCTGAGGTCAGCTACTTAGGGATGCCTCCCCACTCCCCCAGGGCCACCAGTTGTGGAAGACAAGTGTGTGGGAAACTGAAATGCTGGACAGTGCAGAGGGCTTATTTTTAACTTACTAACACTTTGATTTTCTTGCCTACATGTCTATTGTGTGAATTATATAATTTTGACTTACTTTATGGCTTAGTTTCTTTAATCTTTTAATTCTGAGTTGTAATTATTATTACTATGTCTCAGTCTTTTTCTTTCTCTATTTAAGCAGAACTTATTACAAAAAAAGAGATTTTGGAGGAAGAGTTTTAAACCATTTTTACTACTTTCACATGCTCTCTTTAAGTCTTCTACCTTTTATTGTTGATTTTTATTCTCAAACTTTTAACCACTTTCTCATTCACATTTATTTTTTAAGTATTAAAGTGAACAAAAGGTGAATTACTTTCTATCTGGGTGCACATGTGACTGACTACCACCACTGCCAATGTGCACAGTCAGGCGCATAAAAAAGAAGGGAAGAAAAAGAAAAGGAATGAGAATAAAGGCAAGGGAGAAGCCAAAGAGATTTTTCCCATTCTTCATCCTATAGCAACCCACCCCCCACCCCCAGCCTCACCCCTAATATCCCTGGCCTGGAAGAAGTAGCTGCTGTTTTCTTGAAACAGTTGTGGACCCCTCACCCCAATGTGCAGTTCCATCATCTATATGGCCCTAAAGCCTAAATTAGGAGACAGGGGAGGAAAAGTTAAAGAAAACAGGAAATTCACTGCTATATCAGTTCTTCTACTAATGATTTCCTTCCTCAATCTGCCTGCTATTATTAACTTTTCAGAGCCCTCAGATACTGCTTTGTGTCTTTTGTCCAAGGCTTTTACTTGTAATCAGTAAGATGATTAGGGTTGGGTGGACTTTATCTTAGCAGATATTGAGACTTATCCTCCAAGGGGTCTTTGAAAACATAATAAGCTATACCTCTAGGTTTTGGTTTCTCAGTCTCAGCACTACTGACATTCTGGGCTGGATCTTTTTTTGTTGTAGGAGACTGTTCTATGTACTACAGGATGTTTAACAGCAGTTCCGGCCTCCACCCACTAGATGCCAATAGCACCCCCATATGAGGAACATAAGAAAATGCCTCAAGATGACAAATGTCCCAGGCCAGGGAGGGTGGGGGTGTGGAAGGGGATACAACTAGCACCTATCTGAGAACCACACTCCTCTATAGAGGTGGCTCCCACAGCTGAACAAGAGCTGTGGAGCCAAATGAAAATGGAAAACACTCACCATTTTACATTTACACTCTCTTTATACCCAAACTCTTCGAGCTAAGAGAAACTGATGATGGGATTCTCTGATCCTGTATTTTCTCAAGGAAGATACATGTCATCAGCGAGTCCTAAAATCAAACTAAAATCTCAGTGCAGAGGTCTTGATTATGACCCCATTTTAGTGCAGTTTCTTTCAATAGATCCCATATGTGCCCCTTCTCAGGCCAAAAAACAAGTCCTTGACCTACCTGACACTGCATAACTTGTCTGACAGCATCTCCTAGCTAGTCCCACTGTTTACCAAACAGACACATCTCACAAACCACCATTCACTGCCCACCCTACTCTCCCCACTGATGGGTCAACCTAACCACTCATATCAACTAATGTCCCAGTGAATCGTGTCCTACACAGATAAGAGTCCAGAAGCCTGGAGACCCCTCTACCAAGAACTGGCCGTCTTGGATGGATGAAAGTGTTCTCTCACACTTGAGGTTGGTGGCTTCTACATCTGGTAGCTTATTCCTAACAAGTAAGACTTTTCCCCTTGAATGTGGCTAAATGGTAAATCTTAGTGTTTTAGCATTTTTCAACAGTTTTGAAGATCATGTTTGCAGTAATACTATTTTAAAAATACTTTTTCTATAGTCAAGATGTTAGACTTTTTTTTTCCCTCTGGCAATCAGAGGAAAATATCAGGATGGATGGGTCACTTCAGTGACTTTAGGGGCTCCCTACCTCCTCCAGCAGGAATTTGTTTTGACTCCATCCCGCACATACGAGGTGTGACCTGCATTAATCCCTGTGGCAATCTCCTCCAGTATACCTTCTATCCGCTTAACTGTCTCAATAGCTTAACTCACTGCATGTCTCCTACAACTGAAATCATTGTCTTGAAAGTTCCAGATAACTTTTTTTTTCTTTTCTTTTCCCACAAATAACTTTCTTTGAACCAAGATGAAGTGGTTTGACTCTTTTCTGAGGAATGTTTTTCTCTAGAGATAAATTTCAATTGAAATGGAAAATATCTCATTTACTTATAAACAAAACTGACAGTGAAGACTAGCACCACATGAGATATTTAAGACCATTGCTACAGATTGTCCTCTGATTATCCTGTACCCAGGCTGACAATTTCAGATTAGGGAGAAAGTGATCATGTAACCTTTGGTCCTTCAGAGGCAGAATGTGTTTGCACTTGGATTGGCAAGATGTGAGGGTTAAGATGAGAAAGAGTAAGAAGGCTTTTACTGCTGTGGCTGAAATTCTACTGTAAAATGATCTCTTGAAACTCCATTTCAGAGGCATTGAGATAAGTTTCACTTCTCAAATTCTATTAACAAATTATTAATGTATTGAAATCCTCTTAGTTCTATTTTTAAGTAAACAATGGCCTGGCACATGTAGTTTCTAGCTTTATAAGGTCTTTCCTGTGGGTTTTCAGAAGAATTATCAACATAAATTCCCATGTAGTACTTTAAACACATACCAATTGGTCTTGAACTTTCTGTAAGAAACTCTGGGGAAAAAAGCAAGATCTACAGTCAGGCTTTTGAGAGACTCTCACCTTCCATTTCTTACACTGTTTGTGTACCTGAGAAGAAGTTAGGGGGTAGAAGTAGGCCTTAACTCAAAGGAGTCAATTCAAGAAACCTATGCAGAAAGGCTTTGAACAACAAAGATGACACTATTCAGCTAGTGTCATCAGACTATTTCCAATCAGACTATTTCCAGAGCTCACAGGGGGCCTTGCAGAGAAAAATTCATTCAATAACAGGAGTTAAAATGTACAAAGAGAAGCAGAACCTGAGAAAGTGGAAGAATCATGTAAACATCAGATAACCTGGTCCAAAGGGGGGCATTGGGGGTATCTGTGAGAGTGCTGCCTCCCTTCCAATGCAGAGAATATCTTAAGCAAACTCCTATTTCTTGCTATAACTTGAGTGAGTTTCTGGTTATTATAAACAAAGGGGCCTACTTAATTGCAGGCCTCCAAAACAGCTATCATCATCTGAGGACTTTCCTTCCCAGCAGAATTTCATTAACAATCTATAAAGAAGCAAACCTTTCCCACTCTTCTCTTTAATTAAGGAGAAGGTGACCAGGGTCAGATGTCTCTCCATTAGGAGTTGTTTTGTTTTGCTTTTTAACTTTTGTGTTGTATCTCTACTGAATTATTCTTATGAATAGGAAACAGAAACCTTATTAGGTGTCTGGACCTGTCAGAAGGGCAGAGTCACATCAATTCAGAACATTTCATTTACTTCCTGGACAAATGAGAATAATAATTCAAAGCATGTCTCCGATTAACAACCAATTAAAGATGCATTTTAATAAGTAACTCTAGATTAGGGATTACCTTGCCTCACCAATTCCTTTTCTGCTCCAAGATTATTCTGAATATATAAATGTAACTGAGTTTTAAGAAATTTACCCTAACTGTATGTGTTTTCATTTTAGTTCAGTACCCAAGAAATAAGAAACGGTCACAAAAAGTGAAGGGGAAAAGTAGTTTATCTGCCAATCTGAATGTTCAAATTCAGAAAACTGAAACTCTTACAAAACAGTTTTATTACATTCCAATATATCTTTGAGAGTATACATTTTAGAAATACTTCAGGATATTTTTGATCAATGAACTAAGTATGGATTTATATAGCAAAATACTAACTTCAAAGGAAAAACCCTCAAATATAAAAGCTCTTGGTTTCACTCACCTGTTATTGCTTTCACCACCATATCAGACACTTCTGGAATTTCTTCATTAACAGGGACACAAAGCATCTGAGGTGTAACCCAGTGCAGGGCTCTACAAAGAGAGAGTGAGTAAGAAACAGTCTCCAAGAATGGACAGTAGTCCTTTATCTTGCTATCTCCTTCAGTTGAGGGAAAACATGGTGTACCACTGACTAATCAAGCAAATCTAGGTCTCCCAAGCACATCATCCCTGCACACATCAAGAAGTACAGCTGATGGGCTAAAATAATGAGAATCCTAAAATGAGGCTTCTATTTGGCACTATCATAAGAAAAGCAGAAGACAATTTTTTATTATTTAAATATTTTATTTTATATAATTCTTACATCTTTTTTCATCTTTGCACAATGTATGCATTTTCATTTTGGTTATATTCCCCATACAATTGCACCTCCCCCCTTATTTTGACTCTAGTCCTTCCTTTCTTCCCTCCTCCCTCCCCCCCCCCCAGTAGTGTCTCAAGCAGAAGACAATTTTACCAAATGAAATGAGATTATACTAAAACTAAAAAGCATTTAATATTTGAGAATGAAGATTTGAGAAGAATCTGCTGCCTCCTGTCCTTACTTTCACCCAGAGTCTTTTTTAGACTCTGTCCTCAACTTCTGAGCCTGTTGAAGAGATCAGTAAGAATGTTGTCACATCAGCCTAAATCACTGATGTTCCTAGTCATATTCTAACTTCATTCCAGAGATCCTACTACTGACTTTCAGCACTTGTTTCAATAACACTTTTGCCTTGAATCTTAGTGCAAAGCCCATCTGTTTACTTCTGTTTCCTAACATCTGGCTCCATCTTTCCAATACCAGTAACTCCTTACCTCTGGCAGGACGCCATCAAGTACAGATCTACCAATTACCAGTCCCCTTATCTGGGGACTCCATTTGGGATTCTTCAGCCTTTCTCCTCTAGAAACACCTCCTCATGCTCAGTCTTGGACCTGTTTCAATACTTAGATGGTCTATTTCCTAGGTGTCTCCTTGCCATTGGCATGCAGAGCACTGGGGATCACTCTACTGGCTTTGAGAAGTATTATCTACCATTAAGTTGTGGAAAGGTGTGATTAGAGAAGAGGTTGAATAATGTGCACCCCTAGTAGGGATGAGGAAACACCCACTGTCTGGATCCGGGTATTCACAACTTCCTTCCTGACAAGATTGTAAAATACGAAAAAATAGTGAAATTTCCTCCTCTTTTGGGAGAAATTTGGGAGATTTGAAACAATCTCAAACATCAAACAGGGTTCTTACCTAAAGTTGCTTGGAGACAGGTGGATAAGCAAGATGATGCCTTGAGCCCCTTTCTCTTCCAATTATACCATATTCCCTTTTTTCTGATATCACACAGAAGCTTAAATGCTAAGGAAGGACCACAGGTGCCTTAGCTGTTACTTGCTCTCAAGTGCCCTGTTTCCTACAACAGACTGTGGTAAATATGAGAACAAAGTAGAACAATCAACTACCTGATCCTCTTTTGAATAGCAAGATCTTTCTTCTCATCATCAGTAGTTTCCGGACAGAACACATATTTATAGAGGCGAGTCATGATGTACTTTTCAATCTGATCCATTATCTTCTCAACTCTTTCTGGAGGCACTGAAATACCCAAATAATACAAATAAATTTGCTAGAACTACATTAAACACAATCAGAAACAGAAGTATAACAAGTTACATTAAAAAATGCCTTTTAAAAAATTACCTCAACTGGGGCCTCCCTGGTGGCACAGGGGTTAAAGTCTCAGCACTATCAAGCTATCACCAGTCACTGAGGTTCGATCGCCCCAGCCAGGGAGCTAACCCAGATGGTGCAAGCAGACCTCTCTGTCTCACCTGCTGCTCCTCTTAGCAGTGTGTTTCAGTAGATCTGCCTGTTCTGCTCCTCACTCTCTCGGGTGAATTCTCTCATCCCTTACACCTCTGGCCTACACTGCAGTTCTTGTGTGCATATGTAAATAAAAAATAAAGCTTAAAAAAAATTAACCTCAACTTTTGGGACTACTTTTCATAGAATCCCCACTTCTAACTTAAACTCATTTGCCAGGACCTTAATAGTTGCACAGCCTGCCAAGGGAAGATCTCAGTATGGGTAACTCCTTATTACTGTATTAGAAAAGCATCTGAAACTCCAAAGATTGGTAAATGCTGGCAAGATTCATCCTGTCATTTTCCTGAGATTTACAGTAAAATCTAAGATGTATATATGGGGCAGAGGTCTCAATACATCAATGGAAGTCAAATTCACTAAGACCATCTAAAAACTTACATGCTAAAGCAGTGATTGTCAATTTTTTTTCTTTCTCCAACCCACTCAAATACATAATGATTAACAATGACTCACCAAAATGGTAATTTTGTTAGTAATTCCAAAATGGGGGTTTCATTGAGAAACCTCCCAAGGAGTCTTAATCAACTCTGCCCCACATGGAATGAATCTATTAAATATTATTCAATAAATTATCCAGTTGCTCTGATTATATAATGTATACGTGTAATAACAATACACACAGTGACATTCAAAGGCACTGCTAAGTATAAGATCAACTACTAGAATGTCAGTGGAATGAATGGTTTATAGAATGGAGTGGGCAAATCAGCAGGCCATCAGAAGAGAGTAACTTCTAAAGACTGAGCAGTCAGCCCCTGTGCAACTACCAATAGTCCCTCAACGATTAGCCTACAAAGCAGTACCTTTTCCACGAGTCTGCATTCTTTCAGCCACATTCTGGTAAAAATCCTGAGTACATTCCGACTGTTCCTCAATGCTTAATTCCTGAATAAAAAAGACAAAGAAGCTGCTTGGTAGCTGAAGAACAATCATGAGTAAAGTTCAAAATTTTATGACGTTTCCAAAACCCACTCTTGGAAATCAGTGCTAATTTCAAAAGTACTTATTAACTACATTAATTCTGCAAAACCTACACATTATTTACAACAGCCCATGACCTCTTGCTTCTTTTCACTGTTTATACATATCCTTACATGAATATACTGTATATTTTTATAACATACACATTTATGTGATTTTATATATCTAATCTATTTAATCATTTCGATAGTGTTATAACATCTCATTAATGAACTGGTTTATTTAACACACCCTAACATAGTACATTTGGGTTCTTTCCCTTTTTTCACTAGTTTGTACTGCAGTTATAAACAACTGTGTGAAAACTATTTATTTTGGGGTTTTTTTTTTGTGATATAGTTCCAAAAGTGACATTTGTGATTTAATAAGCACAAACAACTTTAAGTATCTATTACTATATACAATCCTCAGACTTAGTCAATGTCTAATTGTCATTAGCCATTATGTGTGCTTATTTCTCCATGCTCCTACAACATTAGGCTTTATAACTATTACTTGGTTTACTGACTTTATAGGTGTGACACATTTTTATTGTCCACTTTTATCCATGAATATTTAAAATCTATATAAATGATAAACACAGTTCAGCACAATAAACGAGGTGAGGCAACAGACCTCTATGTCACCCACTGCTTCTTAGCAGTGTAGTTCAACAAATCCAACTTTTCTGTTCTCAAAAAAAAAAAATTAAAATTAAATAAACCAGAAGATGATAAAAGAAGGAAAAAAGATGGAAAGAAACAGAAAGCAGAGCCTGGAATACAAAAATATGTTCCTTGACGATACAGAAGTTAGTGAGGAGTTGGCCCAACCCATACATTTGTCTCTAAACTTTCTAACAATCTTCATTGCTATGAAAACAGTCACATTACTCAAGTTCCGAAATACAAAACAAACAGATTCTGCAGGTGAAATTCTGACAACCAAATAAGAAATTTCTACCACAGGCTCTCACAAAGATGTCACTGTAGGATGGCATATGGCTCAGGACAAATTCCCCAGGACTGTTTCTCCTAGGCTGCCTCTACAAAGGCCAATGACTACACACACCAAGGGCTGAGGTACATATACAGTGAAACATGCAGATTCTGATGCTCTGATTTAATTCGGAAAGGATGCCTTAGGTTCAGGGGTAATGAGAAAATCATGCCTATCTATCTGTCTTTATGTCTCTCAAGGAGATCCTTCCCTGGTTTGGGCCCACAGTAACTCTCACCTCAAGTTTAGCCACTTTCCCCACCTCTACTCTTTTCCAACCATGTTACACACTACACTACAACTGATCATCTTAGATTATGATCTGGTTGCACTGCACTTCAGTGCCAATGGACACCCATCAGGTGCAAACTGAAAGGTGCACTGAGCTCAAACAGTGCATCCTCCTTCCCATTTACCCTGCCAAGTTACCTACTGTCCCAAGAACCTGTTTTTAGGTTTTTTTCCTCTACACTGAAATTATTCTCTGTCCAGGTTACTCCTCTTCAACTCTTTAATATCTGTCTGAGGAAGTCACCACGGCTTGAGTTCACATCTTACCTCCTCTAAGAGGTTGTCCTTATCTCCTTAGTCAAAATAACCATGTAGGTCTCACAGCACTCTGACCACCTTGACTGCTGCTCTCATTACTGTCTTAGTTATTTATATAAGAGCCATTTGGTTGAGTTAAAATTGATCTCTCTTGTCCAGTAAGGATTAGGTACTTAAATTTTATACATTTTATAATGTTAAACTTTTATTTATATCCACAATTTCCATTGTTGCTTTCTACTCTGACTTTCATTTTTTACTGCATAGATTTTTTTTTAAAAGTTAGTATCACTAAACCTTTTACCTAGGCATTAACGATTCTTCAACTGTTCAATATTACCTCCTTTCCACAGTTGGAACAAATATCCTAATGTACTTTCTTCTAAGTTTTTTCATCTTTCTGGCTGGATGCATAGTATGAAACAGACCCATGTAATGAAAATTGGCACTGGCTCCCTTTATTCTGCACTATCTTTTCAAGATAACCTGAAAACAGCCTTAGGAGACAGAGACAGTGAGTACATCCCTCAAGTGAAAAGGATAGATTGTTTACCATCCAGCATAATGTTTCCCTCTGGGGCAAAAATCACACAAGTTCATTGCCCTTTCCCCTAATGTAACTTGCCACATACCAAGCATTGCCTAGGTTTTACATTGCCATGTGGGAAAACTAAAGGAATTGGTGCAAATGCTGATGATATACTTTGGATAATGATCTTCTTATAAGAAAAAACTGGTCTTTGTTTCTGATACAGGAGATTTATGTCTCCTGCCAGTATCCGTGAAACTACAGCAGGCTAATTTGTTAGCTTGTAAACAGGATAAATCTCTGATTCATCACAGTTCTTGCCAGAGGAGCTAAGTGATAGGTGTGCACTGGCAAATTCTTTTAAGTTCTACAAAATTCCAAAGGCTTTTCATAGTTTTCCATGAAGAAAAACAGTCTAGTAATAGAAATGAAACCATTTTCTTATGTATTTTCTAACCATTGTTTGGGATCATTTTTTAAATAATGTTTATTTTGTTATTTTTCCAATATTTTTTTTTGTTGTAGCCTAAAAGTTGGACAAATGTGGGTATCTCTTCCATTGAATATTAATACTGAGAAGTACTCTGTATATTTTCTTAATTGCTTGGCTGAAGTCTTTCCTACCCCCAGTTTTGAAAACTTTGAGACTATTTCCTTAATTATGTTTACTGTTTTTAATTTTAAAATTGGGTCCTGGGTTACCTTTCTTCCCCCAACCTCTCCTCAATTTTCTTACCATAATTAAAGCCTATTTTGTTTATCAAAGTTTCAGTGCTTTAGATAGATACTTCTGTTCTCCTAACAGTAATTACATAAGGAAAATTACTTCTAGCATACACACATGGTTAAGAGTAGAAGGGTAATTCTAAGGCATAATAGGATGATACCTGTCTTTCTATTTATTCTGGGAAAAGAATGTGACTAAAGATACAGCCACATTTTAAACTACATTTGTTTTTTCTCTTCATTCAAACATTAAAGTTTTCCAGAGTCTATATCTTGACTTAAAAGTAAACTAAATTATTACAGAACAAGGGCATATTACATTTCTGAGAAAAACAACATTCTGAGCTGAGCAGTTTTCTAAAAAATAGTATCATAGTATAGATTACCTATAAACATTTCATATGAGCTGATGAACAAATGACATGAATGATATTTTGCTTACTTTAATTCTAAATGTCAATATTTACTTACAAATACCTAGAGAGGAAAAAAAGGGGCTACTTATTCTCAATGTAATTGCACATGAAAAAAGCATCAATTGATTATTGGTCTAGTGACCTCTACCCACATTTGGAATATAGCTAAGCAGTTCATCACTGCTGTTTCTCTAATTCTCTTTTTCCTTTCTAACTAACACTTTCTTACCTCATAGATGGGACTTTTGAGACAATTTTGAGTTTAATGGGTGTAGAATGTTACAACAAAATTAATCACTATTTATAAAGTGAGTCCCTTTACAGGGAGTCTTATGAGTTATTTCAACTAAATGTTTAAGTTAGAAATAACAGGTTAAAAACACACACATGGAAGACAAATTCTTATTCTGGCAGAATCTACCTATGTGACCTTGGACAAGTCACTTACCCTCTCTCTGAATTTCCCCAGCTAGAGAACAAAGGGGCTGAAACCAGATAGTTGCTAAGGTCCCTTTCAACATCTAAACTTTAGCTTTCTATTCTCTTTCTTTCCATTATCCTCTCTGAACACAGAGAGGAAAATTAAAGACCAAAATACAAATCAAAAACAAACAAAAAGACTAAAATGATTGCTACTGGTCTAACAACTATTATTTAGAGTTCAAGGTCTAATATGGCTCTCTTGGCAGCTTATGCAAAATGACAAGTTAGAAAATTTATTACTAACATATACAATATAAGTGTCTTTGATGTCAGACTTTCCACACAAAAATGATCCAAACACCACTGAGTTGCAGTGGAAAAGTACTAGCCTAGCAGTCAGGTTTTAACTTGCATTAGTGACATTTTTTAGGTGACATTTTTTAGGTGAGTAACTTAACATCTCTGGGTCTTGATTCTCTCAGGTAAAAAATGATAGCATTGCACTAGGTTATTTTTAAGACCTTCCCTAAAACCAAAACTCTATATTGCTAAATAGTTATTCTCAACCTACCCTTTTGTAAAGCATTGATTCCATAAACATCTTGGTCTGCTTATAGATTTCTTGGCCTGTCTTGTGGAAGGTCTTGAGAAATTCTATGAACTCTTTAGACACTCTATCTGTTTCAATGCTGGTTTGCCGGTTTATGGAAGGACTGGGAGCTTTTGCTTCCTGAATTTCTGCTGGGAAAATTAAATATAGTAAGTTTCATTATAAAAGATCCATGCATGAAATTACTTTAAGTACCTAACTTAAGATTATTTATATCATGCTTTATCAAAGTTAAATTTGAATTTAAATTACTTTATGTTCAAATATTTTAGCAACTTTCCTTAAAGTAAGCTTAGTTTGTTTTACAAGATGTATACATAGATAAAACAACATGATCTAAAAGATATTCCTATTCAAATAAAAATTGCTCTATTAGTATTTTCTTAGCCAAAATACATCATGCTTTATTATTTTTTTTAAAGATTTATTTTATTTATACAACAACCGGGGTACAGGCCAGATGCACGGGAGGGTGAGAGGATTCACCAGAGACAGAGCGGGGAACAGAACAGGCAGACTGACGAAATACACTGCTGAGGGGAGCAGCAGGTGAGACAGGAGAGGTCCACTCGCCATGTGGGTTACTCCGAGGCCAGCAGTGATCGAACCGGCACTGCAGAGGCTGCAGACAGCTTCGCAGCACTGTGCTCAAGTGCCTGCGCCACTGGGGAGGCCCCCAAAATATATCATGCTTTAAACTGTACATTTAATTGTTAATACTGAAATAGCACCACTGTCCTGAGTAATTTTCTTCAAAGGTTTATAAAATGACTCAACAATTAAAAGAACAATCAGAAAAAACAAAAATGTTAGATGACTTATAAAATTTTAGACAACCTTTCCAATTCTCATTTCACATGTTAAAAAGACAAAGTAATTTGTTTATGTGAAGACTAACAATAATTTACCCATCACTGTTTTCAAGTCAGACTGCTCAAAGAATGCATCCAGAGAAGCATAATAGTCATGAGACAACACACAGTAAAGACATAAAGAAAGCAAGTGAGGGGCCTCCATGATGGTGCAGGTGGTTGAGCATTGCACTGTGAAGCTGTCCACAGGTTCTGCAGTGCCGGTTCGATCCCAGCCGACTAGCGAGAATCCCACATGGCACGGCAGACCTCTCCTGTTTCGCCCGCTGCTCCCCTCAGCAGTGTATTTCAGTCAGTCTGCCTGTTCTGTTCCCCACTCTGTCTCTGGTAAATCCTCTCGCTCTTCCACACATCTGGCCTGTATCCTGGTTCTTTTATAAATAAATAAATCTTTCAAAAAAAAAAAAAAGCAAGTGAAACACTATCTAATCAGTTGAACATCAACTCTTTCCCCTCTTCAAATTAACATATACTGAAAATAAAATGAGACCTTAGCAGAAAAGACGTAAGATGTTGTGACACAGCAAGCACTCTCAGAAAACAAGAATTATCACTTGCTCTGGGATTCTTAGTCATATGATTTTGAACCGTGCCTTCTAATACAATATGTACATGGGTTAGAATACCTTATATGCTTAGGATTCCCTTTTATACCAAAAAAAAAAAGATAATTGAATAGAAAAAGTATCTTTTGAAGGGACTAAAATCAACCATCAATGTTTTCTCAGAATAATTTCTTATACTCTTATTTTTGGAATATTAGTAGCTAAGATACATTTCAATCATAAAGTTTAAATAAAGTTTTAAGATCATAAAAGCATTACAGTGATAGGTTTGTTAGTCTTTTCTGTAAAGGTCTCATTTTCTTTTTGGTGTATATTAATTTGAAGAGGAAAAAGAGTTGATGTTCAACTGATTAGACTGTATTTCATTTGCTTTCTTTGACTCTGCTGTATGTTTAAGTGAGTTAAACATTTGTAGATTATCTAGAAGAATGCACTATTAACTATGGCAAACTGTCACTTATTACATAATTAATTATTAAACTAATGTGGGGCATAGTTGCTTGACTTACGTTCAAATTAAAGCAAAAAGATCCTTCTCTCTCATTAAATAGTTAGCAGAACAAAATTATACTTTATAGATACCTTTCCAAATCAAGCATTTGCCTAACTTTTAAACTGTCAGGGGCTGCCTAACTATGATTCAAATATTTCAGTCACATTAAAAGATAAAAGCTAGTCGGGGGTAAGGAAACTCTAGCCATCTTCTTTAAGATGCTTTACTTGTGCATTCTCCTTCCCAACATATTCTTTTCTCCAAATACAGGTAATTTTGATTTAAAAACCTCATGAGGGCCTCGCTGGTGGCGCAAGGGGTTAAAGCACTGCACTATGAAGCAATCCGCAGCCTCTGCAGCACAAGTTTGATCCCCGGCTGGCCAGGGAGCAACCCACATGGCGCAGCAGACCTCCCCTGCCTTGCCCGCTGCTCCCCTCAGCAATGTACTTTGTTCAATCTGTCTGTTCTGTTCCCCACTCTGTCTCTGGTGAGTCCTCTCACCCCCCCTCACCTCTGGCCTGTACTCCAGCTCTTGTATGCATAAATAAATAAATCTTAAAAAATTTTTTTTTTTAAATTAAAAATAAAAACCTCATGATGAGTACCCCAGATTGAGGGGTAGAGGATGAAGCAGGGCTCCAAGGGGACAGCACTGTTGCTCAGTCTCCTTCACCATTTCAAATTTACAGTATATTTTTAGTTTCATACATCATCTGACCCTCAAACCCAATTTAGATCTCAAATCTGGGTTGGTATTCTCTGAAAGGTTATGGAATTAAAAAGACGAGTCTATATGCACTGTGGATCTCTGTCATATCTCATCTGGGCATAGAAGAAAATCAGAAAATTACCCTTCTTTGATCCAACCCTAGACGAAGCACTGAAGAATTTCTTCACCGTGGTAACCTTGCGAGTTTTCTCATTGGTTTTCTTTTCTTCAAACTTGGAAAATGTGAGGGACTGTGCCCCTTGGCTGCTCTGACTGCTGGCAAAGGCCTCTTCTTCCTCCCGCTGAAGTCTGTCATTCAAAAGAAGGTTATGAATGCCTCAAATGTTCTCCAAGTTTTCCTTGTATCTAAAGGTTATTACTCACTGAATTGAGAAGGACCTAAAAATTTTTAGAACTGGAGATAATACACACCGAATTGGTTGAGGTCTCTAATTTGAAAGTACCCTAACATGCTACTACGAACTTCGAAAAGGACTTTTCTCCATAGATCATGTTTATTCAGGAATTGTACTGGGGCTACATGAAAAGTCTAGTTCTTTCCCCTAATATGTCCAAGGCTGGAAGGGAGAAAGAGATACATAAATAACTACCATATAATGTGACAGTACCTACAGTAAAAGTAAAACCAAGTGCTATGAGAATACAGGAATGTATTACAATGGTGACATTTAGTATTAAAGGATGAATGCGATTTCACCAAGTGAAAGGGCATTCACAAGAGGAAACCACAAATGTGAAGACATGTGGTTTTGGTTGCCAAATTCAATGTAGTCAGAGTACTGACGGTGTAATGGACTATGATGCTGGATGCACAGGTAGGCTCCAGGTGCTAAGAAACCTCTACTGGCAAGCCCACTATAATCCTGTATTTTATCATGTGGTGAACGATTAATCCAACTCAAAAAGACTAAATCCAGTAAATTAGCATTATCTGAGCTATGCTTTAGGAAGATAATGCAGCTAGCTATGCAGCAACTTGAAGGGCAGAGAGACTAGACATGGGGTTAATAATTAATATTACAATTATTTAAGTGAGGAAGAACAAGTACCTGGAAAATGGGAGATGAAATTCAAAAGACTTCTCTGAGCTGGAATAAGTAGAACTTGCTCAATTAGTTGTAGATATCAAGGAAGGTGAAGGAGACATTAAGAATGATTCCAATGTCTTTTAGCCAACGGAATAAACAATGAATGTTACTAACTGAAACGGTAGGAGGGTTATAAGGAAATGCTGGGAGTAGGGATTAAAGTAAATAAAAGTAATAAAGTTGGCCTTGGACCAGTTATATTTAAGGTATTTATGATGTTGAAGGCTATCTAGAGAACAACAGTTCTCAGATTTCATAGATAGCAGCATCAGCATGACCTGATAACTTGTTAGAAATTCAAATTCTCAGGCCTCACTTTCAACCTACTAAGTCAGAGACTCTGAGAGTGAGGTCCAGCAATTACTATCTTCACAAGATTTCTAGATGATTCTCATACGTATTCAAATTAGAAAAATAGTAATACTACAGGAAATCTCTAGTGAGGTCACAACTGGAAGCAATAAAAAATAGCAACAAAATTACAGGTAGAGGTGTTAGTTTGAAAATGGAAAGGAACCCATTTTTCACTGAGACAAAAGAGAAGTTAATATAAAGATATTACTGCATTTTGATGTGGAACGGGGAGGAGGCCAAGAAAATTCATGCCTAGTGGCGTCTACTTTCTTCATGAAATAGGATCAGCCACTGAGAATCAGGAGTACAGTGGAAAACCTCAGGAAAAGTTAATATTCTAAGTCTACATTTTATCTCTTTGATTAGCTGTGGAGTCACTGAAAACAGTGAATGTCCTTTACAATTTCCCACAGTGAACACTGTGAGTTACCACAGATGCTAAAAAAGTAGTCATTCAATAAAGACTAGCCGATTAGATATAAAAAAATCAGCAAAAGCTGTCAGAATTCAGTTCGATTTCTTTTATTGAGATGTTATACTTTCTAGCTTCTTAGGTAAAGGATTAATATTATTCATGGCATTTTATTAGTTTCTATGCTCAGCAGGCTTTCCATCTTCTAATTTATATAATCAAGCTTTGCATAATACAAACTACTTTTGAATTACAAACTCCATTTCTCTTAATATTAAATTGACTCATGGATACATCAAAAAAGAAAAATGTATTTTGACAATAACTTAACTGTGTATCAAGTTCTATCCCTGTTAAACCACCACCTCTAAAAAAAGTTACTTTCCCTCCCTCTAAAAAAGTTATTTTACCTCTCTGCCAGTTCCCAATCCTCCTGAATCTGCTTTTGCCTGGCTTTGTGGTACTCCTCTCTCCAGCACTTGGAGCAGAAGCCTTGCCAAGCAGGGTTGCCATAGTAACCACATCCTTTCTTGCATAGGAGCTCTGATTGATCCACGTGAATTCCTCGACGTTCAGACTTAAGACTCATCTTCTCCCTGCTAATCAAGTAACAAACAAGGAAGTGTTGAAACATCACTATCATTCTGTAATACTAACAGCAGGGTAATTAAGACCAAAACATGAGAGTACAATTTTCAAGCTATAAAGGAAGCAAAAAAGGAGGGAGGAAAGAAGAGACAAAGAGAAGGATAAAGAAAGTTTAAATATAGCAAATTCTTGACATAGTCATGCTACAGAAGAGATTGCTAATCCCCTGTCCAATATACAAAGAATACATTAAGAAAGAACTAATATTGTATTAAAAACTTAAATGTATGACATTAAACTATAGAAATTCTAGAAGAAAATGTAGGGGGAAAACTTTGTAACATTGGATTTAAGGACAATTTCTTGGATCTGATAGCAAAAGCACAAACAACAAAAGCAAAAATAGACAAGTGGGACTACTTAAAAACTTCAACACTTTTACACAGAAAAGGAAACAATCAACAGAGTAAGACAACCTATGCGATGGGAAAAAAATATTTGCAACCCACATTTCTGATAAAGGGTTAATATTCAGAATATATAAATCACTCCTATAATTCAACAATAAACAATCTGATTAGAAATCAGCAAATGGGGGCCTCCCTGGTGGCGTAAAGGGTTAAGCACTGCACTATGAAGTGATCCACAGCATCTGCAGCATGAGTTCGATCCCCGGCTGGCCAGGGAGCAATCCACATGGTGAGGCAGACCTCTCCTGTCTCGCCCACTGCTCCCCTCAGCAGTGTATTTCAGTCGGTCTGCCTATTCTGTTCCCCACTCTGTCTCCGGTGAATCCTCACACCCCCCCCACCCTGAATCACTGGCCTATACCCCAGCTCATGCATGCATAAATAAATTTTTTTTAAAAAAAGGTTAAAAAAAATCAGCAAAGGATTGGGATAATTCTCCAAAGATGATACACAAATAACCAACTAACAAGTGAAAAGATGCTCAACATCACTAATTATAAGGGAGAAGTAAGTCAAAACCACATCCATTTCGGATGTCCACTATCAAAACAGAAAATAATAAGTCTCATTGGGGATGTGGAGAAATTAGAACCCACGTGCAGAGGTGAAAATATAAAATGGTCAGCAACTGTGGAAAACAGTATGGAGGGTCCTCAAAAAACTAAAACTAGATTACCATATGATTCATCAATACTACTTCTGGGTATATGCCCAAAAGAACTGAAAACAGGGCCTCGCCAGTGGCACAGCGATTGAGCCTGGCGCTGTGAAGCTGTCCGCAGCCTCTGCAGTGCAGGCTTGATTCCCGGCTGGGGAGAAACCCACATGGCGCGCAGACCTCTCCTGCCTCGCCTGCTGCTGCCCTCAGCAGTGTCCTTCGGTCCATCTGCCTGTTCCGCTCCCCGCTCTGTCTCTGGTGAACCCTCTCACCCTCCCGCACATCTGGCCTGTACCCCGGGTCTTGTATAAATAAATAAATCTTTATAAAAAAAAAAAACCGATAACAGGATCGTGAAGAAATAATTGCATACTCACATTCACTGCAGTATTTATTCACAATAGCGCAGAATTTGAAGCAATGAAAAGGTCATTTGAAGAATGAATGGATAAAGACAATGTGTTTATATAATTAAATATTAGTGGCTTTATAAAAGAGAGAATCCTGTCATATGCTACAACATAGCAAAAATCTTGAGGTATAAGAACCTCCACGACATTATGCATGCAAAAAAGTAAAGTAAGTTAGTCACAGAAAGACAAATACTACATGATTCCACTTACAGGAGGTATCTAAAGTAGTTAAACCAGAAAGTAGAATGATAGTTGCCAGAGGCTGACAGGAGAGGACAAAGATGGATACAGAGTTAGTTTTGCCAAACAAACATGTTCTAGTGATCTGCTGCATGACAAGGTGCAGTCATGTGCACTTTAAAAATAGACTGTACACCTTTAAAATGATTAAGATGGTAAATTCTATCTTATGTGCTTTTTCACATTAAAAATATTTTAATATTAAAAAAGGACTACTAGAGCCTTCCTAGTTACTACCAAAATCAGTTCCTATATTTTTAACTTGAAAGATATAAAGTACAATCCTCTTGAAATACTGTGTTCTTAGAGTATGTCATTTGACTCAAAAAGACTACTTCATTTCAATGATATGAAAGTGAATACTTTTTTTCAAATTAAAAAAATTTAACATGTACCAAGTAAGTGATGTGATCAAAGCATCAGAATAAATTCTAAATTTGAGATGGTATCCTAGGTCCTTCACAATCTAGGTCCAATTAACATGAGATTACAATTTGCCACTATCACTACATGCTCAATATTACTCAGGTACTTAATTATTTCTTACAACCAAGGTGGATATTATCCATCGACCGATGGATATTATCTCCATTTTATCAGTGATAAAAACTGAGGTTCAGATATTTTCAGAAGTGTGTTAACTACTGAATACAGCAGCAACAAAAAATAAAATAAAATAAAAATACAAGCAACAAAGAGATTTAAAAGCAGGCAAGACTCCAGGATCCTGTACCATATTGTTCCCCATCTATTTGTCTAATCTCACATCCCTGAGCACAGAAACTTTCAATTAGATTACCATTTCCCAAATAAATCATGTATGTTCATGCCTCAGTCTAGAATTTTTTTTACTGTACTTTTCTTCTGCTTTTTCAAAGATGATTCCTTATTGGAAACTCATTTTAAGGGCCATCTCTTCAATGAAGATTCTTATGAGCTAGCTCCCTCCCAGCATTAACTCTGAGACTGTCTTCTGGTAACACATATTTAGGAAACCAGTTATATCATTCTAGTTTGTTAAAAAGAATCATCTCTATATTTGTCTTCTTCACTTGTAGACTAGAAGCATCCTGAGGAGTTGATTTATACTCCCAATAAAACACAGCATGGACACTAAGGTGTTCAATGTATGTTCTGCATTGTATGTGAAGACAGGGCTGTTTTGTGCTCAGCCTTCATTTGGACAGTGAGTAAGCTTCTCTATAATATTTGACACAAATATGAGGACTTACGCAAGGTATAAAGTCAGAAAGTTGTTTGAAAAACCAATAAAAATGTGCTGAGTTGATTATGAAACCAGAGAACTTTTAATTATGGCTTTACTTTTTAGAAGATCAGCAAAATAAACTGGATTTTCTGCAAAGCTATTTCCCAAGTAAGATTCCTTACTTGGCAGGTTAAGTATATTAAGGTAGTCTTCCTCTTTGGCAATCAATTGTATTTGACCAGTCTTGCAAGGTTGAATCATTTGGCAATCCCTATTCTCTTCTTGCTGCTACCATGTTTTTACTGTTGAGAGAATGAGGGAGAACCGTCTGAAAGCTTCTAAAGGGGGAGGGTGGGATTATTATTCCTTGTATTCCTTGAATACAGGAATAAATGATATGATTTTGGACAAGTGTAGAAAAACTGACTGAATCAAATATTTGCAAATATAAAATCATCTATTCATGTAAACTGAGGAATTTATATCCCCATTTCAAAGTTGACAGGACAAAGTTCCAAGGGATCAGGTACTTGCATAAGGTTACACTCATTAGAATTAAAATTTGAAACACTATGTAACAAGTTCCAATGTCTGTTTTCTACTAACACTAATAAGCATATCTTATTTTTTCATAGCATCAGAATCATATTAAAAAGTGCTATCCAACAATTTCCAATTAAATTCATGGAATGGAATGGCCCTAGGTTTTTTTTGATTTTTTTTTTTGACTATTACAAAAGTTTATTTAACAAAAAGTTCCGTAGAAAATGTACACGACCCAATTTTTATATCATAGTAAAAAGATGCTGTGGAAGCAGACATGGGGAAGCAACTGATTTCTCTGGCAAACACAGCCACTGCTTATACTCATTCCAAGGCTTCTAACATGATGATACTATTTCCTCATATTACCACCATTCCAATATTGTTCTGTTGCCCACTAGTTGCCATCTCCACACACTCATCTATCACAAGATTCATAAAGGGATCAAATCCCCGTAATATTCCTTGGACATGGCTGCCACCATTTAATTTCACTGACAACTTTTTGTCCATAAATTTTTTCAACTTGGGAGGGTGAGCTTTGCTCATGGTGTCTACTCCCTGGGCTCAAAGGTGCCTCCACATCCACGGCCTCTGTCCCACTCTAAGATTTATTTTATTTATTTATGCATGTAAGAGCTGGGGTGTAGGTCAGAGGTGCAGAGGGATGAGAGGATTCACTGAGACAGAGTGGGGAGCAGAACAGGCAGATTGACTGAAATACACTGCTGAGGGGAGCAGCAGATGAGACAGGAGAAGTCTGCTGCGCTTTGTGGGTTAGCTCCCTGGTGAGGATTGAATTTGTGCTGCAGTGGCTGGTGATAGCTTCACAGTGGTAAGACTCAACCTTTTGTGTCAGCAGGGAGGCTCCCCCTTGTTCTTTACATAAACAAATAAACTGCCAAATAAGCACAGAAAAGTGGCACTACGCAGTGTAGATTCAAGAAAAAGTCCAGACAAAATTAAGTCCCAAGTCTTGGTGACTCTACCATTAACTTAACTCTAACATTCCCTAAGAGTTGACTATATGCAAAGAATTAAGCTAGATGCCATTGATAATTGATAGAATATGTCCTGTGTCCTCAGGAAGCTCATAATCAAAAACACAGACATACTGAAAAGTGCATAAAAAGACAACATGCTATGAAAATGGAGGAGAAGACGTCAGGTAATTCTGCGTTAGGAGTATGGAGAGAGAACTTGGGCCATAGAGTGGAGGTGTTGATCTCCAGCTGAACCTTAGGTGGTCTCAGAGAGATGATACAAAAGAGGAAGAGCATTGCAGTCAGAAAGAACATTTTTCACAAAAAAAAAAACAGTGACAGAAAAGCAAATGTAGAACATAATGTAGTATAAATGGGAGATAAACTGGAGAAGTTAGGTGTGAATTCAAATTGTAGTGTTTTAAAACTCCAGTTTAGAACAGGTTTGTATGGCTCCTGAGGAGATAGCATCAGGTGTGAGCTCAACGTTGGGATGCTGGTGGGGGGAGAGGTGGCTGGGTACAGAGAGGGAGGCCCAGGGAAATTTGGGAGCAGAATGCTGAGCTTCAGGTATCACTTCAGAACTTGCCTCCACCCCCTCTCCCCATCCCTGTCTGCATTCATGGCTCTGTGCTACCCCACGGCCATGGGTGACCAAGAATGTGAGCAAGCCAAGGCACAGCCTCCACTGCAGGTGCCATGCCAACCACACCAAATTCATGCTGGGCATAACGAGGAGGTGTGTGACTTTGCAACCTATTATTGGCACACCCTGGAACTGCTCAAGGTTGGGGGCCCTCGGTTAGAAAAGGGTGGGGACATACATCTGAACCAAGAGGAGAAAAGGGCTGAGTAAAGAACTGGTTGTCATCAGGAAGGCAACTGCCAATAAAGACTCCCCACTTCTGTGCAGAAAGAAAGTCTTTTCAGAAAAAAAAAAAAAAAAAAAAAAAACTAAAAACTCCAGGCTAGAGTCTGGATTGAGGTATCATTGAAAGCCCTGGAAAAGGGGAAATAATAAGATCTCTATTTTAAGACATTAAACTGAAAAGGTAGAAGTACTGTCTTCTAGTTTGGTGAAGTGAGGAAGACAATAAATCCTCACCCCCAAAATCAACTATAAGCACATTCCTTTTGGTGGCACACATACAAAAAAATAACTATAAAGATGAACCAAAAATTCTTCTCTGTTGATGGATCTACATGTGAGCCAAGGAATACAAGGTGTCTATAAAATTATATAGCATAACAGAGTTTCCTGGGGTGATGAAACTGTCCAGTATTCTGATGGTGGAGGTGCTTACACAAATCTATACATGTGTTAAAATCCACAGAACTGTATACTCCACCAAAATTCAAGTTTAGTGTATGAAAAAAAACACAACTCGAGAGGCAATCTAGGTTGGACTGGGAAAATATGCAAAACAGGAGATGGGGTAGTCATGAAGATACAACTACAATAACCTCATAACTCACAAAAAGATAACCCCCTTTTTTTTAAATTAAGAGCTCTGAATAAACACTTCCCCAAGGAAGATATACACATGGTCAATAAGCATATGAAAAGATGTTCAACTTCCTTAGGGAAATGCAAATCACAATCACAATGAGATATAGGATAGTTAAGAAAGTCAGATAATAGCAAGGATTGGCAAGGGTGTGGAGAAATTGGATCTTACTGGATCTTCACAGCTGGGGGGAATGTAAAATGGTGCAGCCACTTTGGAAAATAGCCTGAAAGTTCCAAATAATTAAACATAGAATTACCATATAATCCAGCAATTTCACTCCATGAGAAATGAAAACATGTTTGTACAGCAACTTACACATACGTGTATAACAGCATTAACCATAGTGGCAAAGTGTGGAAATAACCCAAATGTCTACCAACTGATGAGTGGATATGCAAAATATAGCATATTCATCCAATGGAATATTGTGGAAGTAAGTAGTGACACATGCCACAACACAATCAACCATGAAAACTTGCCTGTGAAGGAAACCAGTCATGAAAGACCACGTATTATATGAACCCACTCATGAAAGTCCAGAAGAGGAAAGCAAAAGAATGGATTAGGGGGCCTCCCTGGTGGCACAAAGGGTTGATGCATAGCACCGTGGAGCGGTCCACAGCCTCTGCAGCACGATTTCAATCCCCGGCCGGCCAGGGAGCAACCCACATGGCACAGCAGACCTCTCCTGACTCGCCTGCTGCTCCCCTCAGCAGTGTATCTCGGTCGATCTGCCGGTTCTGTTCCCCACTCTGTCTCTGGTGAATTCTCTCACCCCTCCCCCACATCCCTGGCCTGTATGCATAAATAAATAAATCTTTAGAAAAAAAAGAAGAATGGGGCCTCCCCGGTGGCGAAATGGTTGAGCCCTGGGTTGCGAAGCTGCCTGCAGCCTCTGCAGCGCCGGTTCGATTCCGGCTGCTCCCCAGCCCCCGGAGGAGGGTCCCACATGGCGCTCAGACCTCTCCTGCCGCCCGCTGCTCCCCTCAGCGGTGTACTTCGGTCCTTCTGCCTGCTCTGCTCCCGCTCTGGCTCTGCTGAATTCTCTCACCCTCCCGCACTTCTGACTGAACCCAGTGCTTGTATAAATAAATAAAAATAAATCTTAAAAAAAAAAAAAAAAAAAGAATGGATTGGAAGATTCTGAGGACTGAGAGGAAGAGGATAGGAATAAAAGAAATAGTTAAAAGATCATGGGTATTTCTTTTTGAGGTGATAAAATTGTTCTGAGGTTGACTGTGGTGATGGTTGCCATTGAATTATGTCCTTTAAATGGGTGAATTCTATGGTTTGAAAATTATATCTCAAACCTGATTTTTTTTTTTTTAAGCAGGAGGACGAAAGCAAAATTAGAGATTTGAAGCACTCCTCTGGTTTTAAAGGTGGAGAGGATTCTAAGCCAAGGAACGTAGATGGCTTCTAGAAGCTAAGAATGATCCCTGGCTGACAGCCAGTAAAGAAATGAAGATCTCAGTCTTATAACCACATGGAATTCAATATGGAAACAGATTCTCCCCATACCTCCCAGATTAAGAGCCTAGGCTTGGGCCTCCCTGGTGGCACAAGGGGTTAAAACGCAACCTATGAAGCTGTCCACAGCCACTGCAGTACAAGTTCGATCCCTGGCCAGCCAGGGAGCTACCCACATGGCACAGCAGACCTCTCCTGACTCGCCCGCTGCTCCCCTCAGCAGTGTATTTCAGTCAGTCTGCCTGTTCTGTTCCCCACTCTGTCTCTGGTGAATCCTCTCACCCTCCACACCTCTGGCATGTACCCCAGTTCTTGTATACATAAATAAATAAATCTTTAAAAAAAAAAAAAAGGGCCTAGGCTGGCCAAGACCTAAATTTTGACCTCTTAAGGTCTTAGCAGAGTACCCAGCTAGGCTGGCCAGGAGTCCCAACTTAAAGAACTTTGAGATAGTATATTGGTGTTGTTTTAATCCACTAAATTTGTAGTAATTTGTTCTAGAAACCACAGAAAATTAATACATTCCTCCTTTCCATTTCTCCTTTTGGGGGCCTTTGTAACTGTGTTCTAATACCTCAAATGCTGTGCTCACTCTTAAGTCATACTCTAAAATACTACCTACCCCAACCTACGCAGCTGGGCTCTCATGGCTAATCTAGACTCTGTAGTTTCTCCAATATCTTACCCATCTTACCCATTTCTAACAAATATTTATTTGCTTATTTACCTGTTAGTTTGGTTTTTTTAACTACTAAAATGCAATGCACTAAGGACAGAGACCTATTTTTCTTCTTCACTCTTAACATTTCTATCATTTAAATAGTGCCTGCCATGTCATGATGTTCAATTATTTGTTGACAGAACAATGAATAACTGAATAAGGCTATTGACTAGCTCAAGGAACAATTTGACTGTGGAGCAATGGCACATAACAAATGCTTAATACAAAAATCCTTCCCCCCGCATGACTGATCAGCCATTACTTAAAAATTATATATGCAAATCAACTCTAAAGGGAAAAATAAACACCTGCTGAATGGTTAAACAAATTGTGGTATATAAATACATACAACAGAATATGTGACAATGAAAGAACAAGCTATGAATACATACAATTTGAGAATTATGCTGAGTAAGAAAATCCTCATGAAGATTATGCTAAGAAAAAAATCTCAAAAGGCCACACATATTGTATGATTTGACTTATACATTCTGGAATGATGAAACTACAAAAATGGAGAACAAATTAGTGCTCTTAAGGGGTTAAGAATGGTGGGGGATGAGGGGATAAAGGAGGGTAAGGAAAGGTATGCAGCAAAGTTAATCTAGCACGTCCAAACTGCTTAAATCATGCACCTTTCAGAAGGGTGTGCTTTGAGTGCTCTTGGCTGACTCCTGGCAGTTGAAGTCTTGGACTTCCTTATATACTAATTGATACGTATTTGGAGCTTTGGACCACACTGTACCAGCTTGTGTAGTTTGTACAAACAGTGTGATGTATGGTGAACACCTGCTTTTCTTCTGGAGTTGCAGTAACAATGATCAATCATAAAGGCATTTGGGCCTGTGTGATGAGCTTCCAATAAAAAGCTGGAATCCTAGGCTTAATGAGCTCCCATAACAGAAAACACTTCACAAATGCTGCGACAGTTTGTTGCTGGGGGACTAAATGTACCCTATGCAATTCCACTTGGAAAAGACTCTTGGAAGCTCATGGCTGGTATCCTCC